AACCACATTCCTGTAAAGCTTAGAGAGGATCTCATGTTAAATACTGTTGAAGTAAAATGGCTACAGGTTCATCTGCCTCACCTAAAGCCCATTCTGATGGGAAGATGCCATAGTCCACCAAGTGCTAACAGTCAGTATCTGGATAACATGTGTGAAATGCTTGATAATGTATGTGATATCAACAGAGAGACACAGTATATTTCTGGGTGATTTAAATATTGACTGGCTTTCATCAGGCTGCCCACTCAAGAGAAAGCTTCAAACTGTAACTAGTGCTTGCAACCTGGTTCAGGTTATCAGTCAACCTACCAGGGTAGTTACAAACAGCACAGGAATTAAATCATCAACATGTATTGAACACATTTTACTAATGCTGCAGAAATGTCCTTTAAAGTGGTATCTAAATCCATTGGATGTAGTGATCACAATATAGTAGCCATATCTAGGAAAACCAAAGTTCCAAAGGCTGGGACTAATATAATGTACACTGCTCAAAGAAATAAAGGGAACACTAAAATAACACATCCTAGATCTGAATGAATGAAATAATCTTATTAAATACTTTTTTCTTTACATAGTTGAATGTGCTGACAACAAAATCACACAAAAATGATCAATGGAAATCAAATGTATCAACCCATGGAGGTCTGGATTTGGAGTCACCCTCAAAATTAAAGTGGAAAACCACACTACAGGCTGATCCAACTTTGATGTAATGTCCTTAAAACAAGTCAAAATGAGGCTCAGTAGTGTGTGTGGCCTCCACGTGCCTGTATGACCTCCCTACAACGCCTGGGCATGCTCCTGAAGAGGTGGCGGATGGTCTCCTGAGGGATCTCCTCCCAGACCTGGACTAAAGCATCCGCCAATTCCTGGACAGTCTGTGGTGCAACGTGGCGTTGGTGGATGGAGCGAGACATGATGTCCCAGATGTGCTCAATTGGATTCAGGTCTGGGGAACGGGCGGGCCAGTCCATAGCATCAATGCCTTCCTCTTGCAGGAACTGCTGACACACTCCAGCCACATGAGGTCTAGCATTGTCTTGCATTAGGAGGAACCCAGGGCCAACCGCACCAGCATATGGTCTCACAAGGGGTCTGAGGATCTCATCTCGGTACCTAATGGCAGTCAGGCTACCTCTGGCAAGCACATGGAGGGCTGTGCGGCCCCCCAAAGAAATGCCACCCCACACCATGACTGACCCACCGCCAAACCGGTCATGCTGGAGGATGTTGCAGGCAGCAGAACATTCTCCACGGCGTCTCCAGACTCTGTCACGTGCTCAGTGTGAACCTGCTTTCATCTGTGAAGAGCACAGGGCTCCAGTGGTGAATTTGCCAATCTTGGTGTTCTCTGGCAAATGCCAAACGTCCTGCACGGTGTTGGGCTGTAAGCACAACCCCCACCTGTGGACGTTGGGCCCTCATACCACCCTCATGGAGTCTGTTTCTGTCCGTTTGAGCAGACACATGCACATTTGTGGCCTGCTGGAGGTCATTTTGCAGGGCTCTGGCAGTGCTCCTCCTGCTCCTCCTTGCACAAAGGCGGAGGTAGCAGTCCTGCTGCTGGGTTGTTGCCCTCCTATGGCCTCCTCCACGTCTCCTGATGTACTGGCCTGTCTCCTGGTAGCGCCTCCATGCTCTGGACACTACGCTGACAGACACAGCAAACCTTCTTGCCACAGCTCGCATTGATGTGCCATCCTGGATGAGCTGCACTACCTGAGCCACTTGTGTGGGTTGTAGACTCCGTCTCATGCTACCACTAGAGTGAAAGCACCGCCAGCATTCAAAAGTGACCAAAACATCAGCCAGGAAGCATAGGAACTGAGATGTGGTCTGTGGTCACCACCTGCAAAACCAGTCCTTTATTGGGGGTGTCTTGCTAATTGCCTATCATTTCCACCTGTTGTCTATTCCATTTGCACAACAGCATGTGAAATTTATTGTCAATCAGTGTTGCTTCCTAAGTGGACAGTTTGATTTCACAGAAGTGTGATTGATTTGGAGTTACATTGTGTTGTTTAAGTGTTCCCTTTATTTTTTTGAGCAGTGTATAAGAGGTCATTCAATAAGTTTTGTTGTGATTCCTATGTTGTTGATGTAAATAATATTTGTTGGTCTGTGGTGTGTAATGAGGAGCAACCAGACGCTGCAATTTGACACATTTATGAAATTGCTTATCCCAGTTATTAATAAGCATACACCCATTAAGAAAATGACTGTAAAAACTGTTAAATCCCCGTGGATTGATGAGGAATTGAAAAAATGGTATGGTTGAGAGGGATGAGGCAATAGGAATGGCAAATAAATCTGGCTGCACAACTGATTGGGGAAAAGAAAGGATGATACCTAGTCAGTTGTACAACTGAATGCATTTTCCACATTTAACCCAACCCCTCTAAATCAGAGAGATGCGGGGGGCTGCCTTAATCGACATCCACATCCGGGGAACAGTGGGTTAACTGCCTTGCTCAGGGGCAGAAGGACAGATTTTTAACTTGTCAGCTCGGGGATTCAATCCAGCAACCTTTTGGTTACTGGCCCAACGCTCCTACCCGCCAGGCTACCTGCCGAATGGCAAACGTGCTGCAAATTGAGTAATCATGTGACTAAACTGAATAAAAAGAAGAAGAAACTACACTATGAAAGAAAGATAAATGACATAAAGAATGATAGAAAAAAAGCTTTGGAGCACCTTAAATGACATTTTGGGCAAAAAGGCAAACTCAGCTCCATCATTCATTGAATCGATGGCTCATTCATCACAAAACCCACTGATATTGCCAACTACTTTAATAATTGGCAAGATTAGCAAACTTAGGCATGACATGCCAGCAACAAACGCTGACACTACACATCCAAGTATAACTGATCAAATAATGAAAGACAAGAATTGTAATTTTGAATTTGGTAAACTGACATTGTTGTTTGTCAACAATGGCAAGCCACCGGGGTCTGACAACTTGGATGTTAAATTACTGAGGGTAATAGCCGACGATATTGCCACTCCTATTTGCCATATCTTCAATCTAAGCCTACTAGAAAGTGTGTGCCCTCAGGCCTGGAGAGAAGTAAAATTAATTCCGCTACCCAAGAATAGTAAAGCCCCCTTTACTGGCTCAAATAGACAACCAATCAGCCTGTTACCAACCCTTAGTAAACTATTGCATTTTTTTTGTATGTGTTTGACCAGATAAAATGCTTTTTTACTGTAAACAAATTGACAAGAGACTTTCAGCACGCTTATAGGGAAGGACATTCAACAAGCACAGCACTTACACAAATGACTGATGATTGGCTGAGAGAAATTGATGATAAAAAGATTGTGGGAGCTGTTTTGTTAGACTTCAGTACGGCTTTTGACATTATCGATCATAGTCTGCTCTTGGAAAAATGTATGTGTTATGGATTTACACCCCCTGCTATATTGTGGATAAAGAGTTACCTGTCTAACAGAACACAGAGGGTGTTCTTTAACCCTCCCGTTGTCCTAGGGTCAAAATGACCCGCCACTGTGTTGAACCAACTTTATTTAATTTTTATATTTTTGGGATCATTTGTGAGAAGGAGGCAGTGAGACTTTAAAGAAAGTATCACTGCCTCCTTTTCACAAATGATCCAAAAAATATAAAAATTAAATAAAGTTGTTTCAACATAGTGGCGGGTCATTTTGACCCTAGGACAACGGGAGGGTTAATGGAAGCCTCTACCAAGTAATCCAGGTAGAATCAGGAATTCCCCAGGGCAGCTGTCTAGGCCCCTCACTTTTTAAAATCTTTACTAATGACATGCCACTGGCCTTGAGTAAAGCCAGTGTGGCTATGTATGCGGATGACTCAACACTATACACGTCAGCTACTACAGTTACTGAAATCACTGCAACACTTAACAAAGAGCTGCAGTTAGTTTCAGAATGGGTGGCAAGGAATAAGTTAGTCTTAAATATTAAAAAAATTAAAAGCATTGTATTTGGGACAAATCATTCACTAAACCATAAACCTCAACTAAATCTTGCAATAAATAATGTGGAAATTGAGCAAGTTGAGGTGACTAAACTGCTTGGAGTAACCCTAGATTTTAAACTGTAATGGTCAAAACATGTTGATACAACAGTAGCTAAGACGGGGAGAAGTCTGTCCATAATAAAGCGCTGCTCTGCCTTTTTAACAACACTATCAACAAGGTAGGTCCAACAGGCTCTAGTTTTGTCACACCTAGACTACTGTTAAGTCGTGTGGTCAGGTGCCACAAAGAGGGACCTCAGAAAATTACAATTGGCTCAGAACAGGGCAGCACGGCTGGCCCTTAAATGTACACGGAGCGCTAACATTAATAATATGCATGTAAATCTCTTATGGCTCAAAGTGGAGGAGAGATTGACTTCATCATTACTTGTTTTTGTAAGAAGTGTTGACATGCTGAATGTACCGAGGTGTCTGTTTAAACTACTAGCACACAGTTCGGACACCCATGCATACCCCACAAAACATGCCACCAAAGGTCACAATCCCCAAGTCAAGAACAGACTATTGGAGGTGCACAGTACTACATAGAGCCATGACTACATGCAACTCTATTCCACATCAGATAACTGATGCAAGCAGCAAAATCAGATTTAAAAAACAGATAAAAATACACCTTATGGAACAGCGGGGACTGTGAAGAGACACACAGGCACAGACACACATACACATGATTATGACATGCACTCTACACACACGTGCACATGGATGTTGTATTGTAAATGTGTTGTGGTGGCGTGGTGGCCTGAGGGAACACACTGAATGTGTTGGGTAAGGTGTTATGAAATGTAACGTCATGTAGCATTTTAAACTGTATGTAACTGTCTTATGTTGCTGGACCCTTGGCAGCAGCTAATGGGGATCCATAATAAATACAAATACAAATACAAGACTCACCTCCAGACGTAAGTATTCATTCTGCTCCTGGGAGAGGAGGCTGAAGAGGACACCGCTGGGGGCGTGGGTTCGCACCTGGAGCTGCACGCTGGTGTGACGAGTGGGGAGTGACCAGCCCACCTGGTACTGGACATGGCTCCTCCCATTGAAGGAGAACTCTGGGACTTCTGTCAGTTCAAGAGAGAAAAACATAGAGTTGAATAGAGATACAATGAGGGCTTCAAATACAGTATATTATTAATTAATTATACTGTACCTACTACTGTATGCACTCAGTAGACAATTCAAGACAATTCACATATGTGAGAGGAGCCAAACACAGTCATCTTACGTGTGAGCCATGCATGTAAAGCCTTAAGACACATTTCCATTCCACAAGATAGGACAATTAAAAAATAGTTAAATCTTGACTCTAACAGGAGTGCTAAACCTAGAATTCAAAGCTATGGCATTTAGATATTGGTGGAAAACAAAACATACATCCCATATTAGGACTCTGCTATGCAATGTAGTCCACTCTACACCTTATGATACCCAGAGACAACACCCGTTATAATCCGACTGTATATTCTCTAAGGACATACCGTCTTCACAGTGGATCCCTGTGTACCCGGGCCCACATCGGCAGCTGAAGGAGTCCCACTGCCCGTTACAGCGCCCCCTGGCGCCACAGACTTGTACCCCCATGTTCATACAGTTCCCATCAGTCAGAGCGCAGCCTGGGGCAGTGCTGGAGGACTCCGAGGGAGAGCCAAGGTCATAGAGCTGGAAGAGAGGGAGAGTTAGAGGGGAGGGAGGAATGAGGGGAAGGAGAGAGACAGATGGAGGGTGATTGGGAAAGAGAGAGGGAGAAAGAGAGATGTGGAGGGAGAGAGAAGAGAGACAGAGAACAAATTTGAAAAAATTAGGGCGAGAGAGAGAAAAGAATAAGGGAGAGAGAGAGAGAGAGAGAGAGAGAGAGAGAGAGAGAGAGAGAGAGAGAGAGAGAGAGAGAGAGAGAGAGAGATTTTAGGTGTATCTTCAATAATGCACAATACATCCTTTTCTGAAGCCTAAAGTAGAGGCACAAAGATCATGGGCATACATTAGAGAAAGAACTTGAAGGAGAATACATTCTACCAGTTCATGTAACCTGTCTGACAGCATTGATAGAGCCTGACTAAAGAGGAATGTGATGACTGAGAGACATCAGCATTCAGAAGATACTCCCAGCTTAGCCTTGAGCTCACATTTACATATCCTCTTGAACTCTCATTTTTAAAGACACCTTCCAGCGAGTCAACCAAACAGGTCAAGGTGTGAGAAAATAAATAAAACTGCAATGTCTAGAGCCGAGATGGAGTTAGAGAGGTAGACTATTTTCTTGTTAGTGTTTTAGGGCAGAGCTGTAGACTTGTGTGTCTTACCTTACTGTCCACAACCAGGTTGCGCAGACACCCAGTGAAGTGCTTGTGCTGTAGCTGTGGATACTCATAGGACATGTTCTCGTTGACCCCACCTAGCTGCAACACCTGACTACCATTCAGGTACCTGTGGAGGAGGACACACTTCACTGTCAATGCCTGACCATTCCGTCCATCCATCCATCCATCCATCCATCCATCCATCCATCCATCCATCCATCCATCCATCCATCCATCCATCCATCCATCCATCCATCCATCCATCCATCCATCCATCCATCCATCCATCCATCCATCCATCCATCCATCCATCCATCCATCCATCCATCCATCAAGTTCAAGTTCAAGTTCACGTTTGTTTATTTGCCATATACACATGATATACATTCTCCTACGTATTTATTTTGACAGTGAAGCTAAACGTTTTTTTGGCTCTATACTCCATATTTTGGATTTGAGATCAAATGTTTCATATGAGGCGACAGTACAGAATGTCACCTTTTATTTTCTGGTATTTTCGTACATATCTGTTTTACCGTTTAGAAATGAAGGCTCTTTATGTATCTAGTCCCCCCATTTGAAGGTGCCATAAGTATTTGGACAAATTAACTTATATGTGTATTAAAGTAGTCAAAAGTTTAGTATTTGGTCCTGTATTCCTAGCACGCAATGACTACATCAAGCTTGTGCATTTGCAGTTTGTTTTGGTGTGTTTCAGATTATGTTGTGCCCAATAGAAATGAATGGTAAATATTGTAATGTGTCATTTTGGAGTCACTTTTACTGTAAATAAGAATAGAATATGTTTGTGAACACTTCTACATGACTGTGGATGCTACCATGATCACAGATAACCATGAATGAATTGTGGATGGAGGGTTGTAGTTTTTGTTATGCCTTTCAGAGGAACCATTTTGTCCATCCACAATGCCTTGGCTAGCAGGTGTGATTGGTGTGACGTCCCAAGGGGCGGGGTTCTGAGGAGAACATTACCTGTCCCTATTAGGCGTGACTCCTCTGACCTCACAGGAGGAGCGGTCCTCGGTCATGGCCCAGCTGTCCACGCCCTCAGCCTCCATAATGATGGCACTGGAGCAGCGGTCCAGGGTGAAATGCACATCCTGAAAACCCCAGAGAAGAGGAGCGAGGTGACAATCTTGTGTGTCTGTGTGTGTGGGTGTGTGTGGGCATGTGTGTGTGCGTACACACATACACATACACACACACCCACATACACACACACACACACGTAAGAACATGAAAGAATGTGTTGGGGGAAGTGAATACAGCCATCTAATAGTCCATTTACTTTACTGTTGCTCCTAACATCCAGTCGGTGCCAGCGTCTGTCGGACACAGCCACGTTGCCCTGCAACTGCAGGACCAGGGTCCCAGACCCGTGGTTGATCTTCAGACTGGGTGTCCCACCAATCAGCTCTGAGGAGAAGAGAGGTCATCAATATCAGCACTATGCCATTCCACCTACAGATTTAAAGGGTCAAAGTTCAACAGTGGTGTAGGATGCTCTTCTTATACTCTTAGAGGGATGTTGTTCAGTGTCAAATAGTCAATTCATACAAATATGCATACTTTACATGAAACGGTATATATCAAAATCAAATCAAATGTTATTTGTCACATGCACCGAATACAACAGGTGTAAACCTTACCGTGAAATGCTTACTTACAAGCCCTTAACCAACAATGCAGTTTTAAGAAAATAGAGTTAAGAAAATATTTATTAAATAAAATAAAAGTAAAAAATTAAATTAAAAAAGTAACACAATAAAGGCTACATATAGGGGATATCGGTACCGAGTCAATGTGCGGGGGTACAGGTTAGTCGAGGTAATTTGTACATGTAGGTAGGGGTAAAGTGACCATGCATTGATAATAAACAGCGAGTAGCAACAATGTAAAAACAAAGGGTGGGGGGGGGGGGGGTGTCAGTGCAAATAGTCCAGGTGGCCATTTGATTAATTGTTCAGCAGTCTTATGGCTTGGGGGGTAGAAGCTGTTAAGGAGCCTTTTGGACCTAGACTTGGCGCTCCGGTACCACACCATATATAGTTCATCCCAAAGGTATGGACCATTATCTTGGTCTACGATGATGAGAAAGTCAACCAATAAACCATTTTTATTTTTTATTTTTATTTCACCTTTATTTAACCAGGTAAGCCAGTTGAGAACAAGTTCTCATTTACAACTGCGACCTGGCCAAGATAAAGCAAAGCAGTGCGATAAAAACAACAACACAGAGTTACATATGGGGTAAAACAAAACATAAAGTCAAAAATACAACAGAAAATATATATATACAGTGTGTGCAAATGTAGCAAGTTATGGAGGTAAGGCAATAAATAGGCCATAGTGCAAAATAATTACAATTAGTACACTGGAATGATAGATGTACAAGAGATGATGTGCAAATAGAGATACTGGGGTGCAAATGAGCAAAATAAATAACAATATGGGGATGAGGTAGTTGGGTGGGCTAATTTCAGAATGGCTGTGTACAGGTGCAGTGATCAGTAAGGTGCTCTGGCAACTGATGCTTAAAGTTAGTGAGGGAGATAAGAGTCTCCAGCTTCAGAGATTTTTGCAGTTCGTTCCAGTCATTGGCAGCAGAGAACTGGAAGGAATGGCGGCCAAATGAGGTGTTGGTTTTGGGGATGACCAATTCATGCACCTCGGTTGGACTGGGAGGCAGCGACAGTATACATTTGCCATTGTGTAACAGAGGTGGTTTGGTAAACCATATTAGGCTGATGAATAACCTTGCTTGAATCCCCCAAAAAACAAGTTAGCTCCCAGCTAATGCCTAGCTCTTAGCTCAGAGGGCTAATGTGTCATATTGAGGCACGCGGACGACCCAAGTTCAAATCCCAAGATGATGAGTAACCTTGCCTGAGACCTAAAATCCTGAGTTACAGTAGCTTCCAGTTAATGCCTAGGCTTTAGCTCAGAGGGCTTTTGTGATTTCCATAACCCGGGTTCAAATCCTGGGTGGGTAACACATTACCCTACCTATAGCCATGTAGTCCTCTGGGTCTCCGGGCTGCAGGGTGGCCAGGGGCCCGCTGTAGAGCAGCAGGCCGTCCTCAGCCTCTGTGATGAACTCCAGGGAGAGATGGCTATCAAAGCACGGCCTTATGGGAGGAAACCAGGCATAGCCGTTGCCAAGGAAACTTTGCCTCGTCTGCTGGCACTCAGGACCCTCGTACTGCGGTGGGCACTGGCACCTGTGGTGGCATGAAACAAAAGCACCCCAGAGAACATTAACAGTGATTTTTCCCTATTGAAACATTATGATGGGGCTGACTCTACTGTCATATCGCTGCGTGTAAAGTGCTGTGGGACGTGTCTATCTTTACAAATGACAACATACAGTGGCTCCTAGACAGACAGGAGAATAGGACTAATAAAACACACTACATACAGTTGCTGCTAGTGCATTAGGCATGAAACACATCAAGTATATATAAAATACTGCATTTAATACATTAGATAGCCTTATCACATTGTTTAGCCTGTGAGCCGAAACAGGTTTCGTTGCTGAAAAACCTCTTACAACTGTTCAGCAGCACATCAGATCCCTTTGTTCAAACATGATTAAGAACATGATTCATACTTTTCTAGGCACCCTACAGTATCACTGATTCTCAATCTCTCCTTGTTTCTGTTCCATTACTCTGCTGTACAGATTCCCTGGCATGATGAAGTGCATGTGTGTGTTGTGCTAGCAGTGGTCCATAGAAGCGCTCTAGTCTATAATCAAGGCAAAGGAAGGGAAAGGAGAGGTAATCACAGATAAATCAGCTAGAGTGCCTCTTCATGCTATTCCTCCACTTCTTCATGGTATTCCTCCCAACTAGCTCTCACAGTATCACGTCAGAATTAGACGTTAATCCAAACATCAAATTTCGAAGTTGTTGCAAACTTCAAATTTCGAAGTGTTTTAGGTTTAACTCAGAATGTTTAAAGTTAGGGTTAAGTTTAGGCATTAACTCCGAAATCTTAAAGTTAGGCATTAACTCCGAATGGTTAAGGTAAGGGTTAAGGTTTGGGAAAGGCTTAAAACAAAAATCCCAAAAAGATTTGAACGTGCAACCTTTGGAATCAGAGGCAGATACTTATGCCCATCTCCTATCCCATCCCCAACACCCTAGCAAAACCAAAACCTACTTGAAGGTAACAGGGCTCACTGTTAACCATAGTGGCCGGTTTCCACATCATCTTCTGACAGACATCAAATCAAATCATAAATCAAATCGAATTTTATTGGTCGTAAACACATATTTAGCAGACGTTATTGCGGGTGTAGTGAAATGCTTGTGTTCGTAGCTCCAACAGTGCAGTAATATCTAACAATTCACAACAGCACACACAAATCTAAAAGCAATACCATGGCGCCAGAGGGGATGGCTCCTAACCAAATGTGCTATTTTGTGTGTTTCTTCGCATTGTTTGTAACTTATTTTGTACATAATGTTGCTGCTACCATCTCTTATGACCGAAAAGAGCTTCTGGATATCAGAACAGCGATTACTCACCTCGAACTGGATGAAGATTTTTTATATAATGAATCAAAGGATATACTGCTTCTCCAAGACCAGGCCCAAACCCCATCATTCGCGTGAAGAAAATATGGAGGTACAGGGGGCAGAAATCGGGGTGCCTTGTGAAAATTAGTCGGCGAGTGGCCTCTACCATCCGTTCTATTGGCCAACGTGCAATCACTGAATAAACTTTATGAGCTCCGTTCGAGACTATCCTACCAACAGGACATTAAAAACTGTAATATCTTGTGTTTCACCGAGTCGTGGCTGAACGACGACACGGATAATATTCAGTTGGCTGGATTTTCCGTGCATCGGCAGGACAGAACTGCTGCGTCTGGTAAGATGAGGGGTGGTGGTGTGTGTCTATTTGTCAATAACAGCTGGTGGGCTATGTCTAATATTAAAGAAGTCTCGAGGTATTGCTCGCCTGAGGTAGAGTACCTCATGATAAGCTGTAGACCACACTATCTACCAAGAGAGTTTTCATCTATATTTTTCGTAGCCGTCTATTTACCACCACAAACCAATGCTGGCACTAAGACCGCACTCAGTGAGGCCATAAGCAAACTAGAAAATGGTCATCCAGAAGCGGCGTTCCTAGTGGCCGAGGACTTTAATGCAGGCAAACATAAATCAGTTTTACCTCATGTCACGTGCAACCAGAGGAAAATAAACTCTAGAACACCTTTACTCCACACACAAAGACACATACAAATCTCTCCCTCGCCCTCCATTTGGCAAATCTGACCATAATTATATCCTCCTGATTCCTGCTTACAAGCAAAAACTAAAGCAGGAAGTACCAGTGACTCGCTCAATACGGAAGTGGTCAGATGACACGGATGCTATGCTACAGGACTGTTTTGCTAGCACAGACTGGAATATGTTCCGGGATTCATCCCATGGCATTGAGGAGTATACCACCTCAGTCACCGGCTTCTTCAATAATTGCATCGACGAGGTTGTCCCCACAGTGACCGTACGAACATATCCCAACCAGAAGCCATGGATTACAGGCAACATCCACACCGAGCTAAAGGCTCAAGGAGCAGGACACTAATCCGGACGCTTATAAGAAATCCCGCTATGCCCTCAGACGAACCATCAAACAGGCAAAGCGTCAATACAGGACTAAGATTGAATCCTACTACTACACCGGCTCTGATGCTCGTCAGATGTGGCAGGGCTTGCAAACTATTACGGACTACAAAGGGAAACCTAGCCGCGAGCTGCCCAGTGATGCGAGCCTACCAGACGAGTTATATGCCTTTTATGCTCGCTTCGAGGCAAGCAACACTGAAGCATGCATGAGAGCACCAGCTGTTCCGGAAGACTGTGTGATCACACTCTCCGTAGCCGATGTGAGCAAGACCTTTAAACAGGTCAACATTCACAAGGCAGATTACCAGGACATGTACTCAGAGCATGCGCGGACCAGCTGGAAAGTGTCTTCACTGACATTTTCATCCTCTCCCTGACCGAGTCTGTAATACCTACATGTTTCAAGCAGACCACCATAGTCCCTGTGCCCAAGAAAGCGAAGGTAACCTGCCTAAATGACTACCGCCCCGTAGCACTCACGTCGGTAGCCATGAAGTGCTTTGAAAGGTTGGTCATGGCTCACATCAACACCATCTTCCCGGAAACCCTAGACCTACTCCAATTCGCATACTGCCCCAACAGATCCACAGATTACGCAATCTCAATCGCACTCCACTCTGCCCTTTCCCACCTGGACAAAAAAAACACCTATGCGAAAATGCTGTTCATTGACTACAGCTCAGCGTTCAACACCATAGTGCCCACAAAGCTCATCACTAAGCTAAGGACCCTGGGACTAAACACCTCCCTCTGCAACTGGATCCTTGACTTCCTGACGGGCCGCCCCCCAGGTGGTAAGGGTAGGCAACAACACATCTGCCACGCTGATCCTCAACACTGGGACCCCTTAGGGGTGCATGCTTAGTCCCCTCCTGTACTCCCTGTTCACCCACGACTGCGTGGCCAAGCATGACTCCAACACCATCATTAAGTTTGCTGACGACACAACGGTGGTAGGCCTGATCACCGACAACGATGAGGCGGCCTATAGGGAGGAGGTCAGAGACCTGGCAGTGTGGTGCAAGGACAACAACCTCTCCCTCAACGTGAGCAAGACAAAGGAGATGATCATGGACTACAGGAAAAGGAGGGCCGAACACTCCCCCATTCACATCGACGGGGCTGTAGTGGAGCGGGTCGAGAGTTTCAAGTACCTTGGTGTCCACATCACCAACAAACTATCATGGTCCAAACACACCAAGAAAGTCGTGAAGAGGGCACAACAACGCCTTTTCCCCCTCAGGAGACTGAAAAGATTTGGCATGGGTCCCCAGTTCCTCAAAAAATTATACAGCTGCACCATTGAGAGCATCCTGACCATTTGTATCACCGCCTGGTATGGCAACTGCTCGGCATCCGACCATAATGCGCTACAGAGGGTACTGCGTACAGCCCAGTACATCACTGGGGCTAAGCTTCCTGCCATCCAGGACCTATATACTAGGCGGTGTCAGAGGAAGGCCCAAAAAATTGTCAAAGACTCCAGTCACCCAAGTCATAGACTGTTCTCTCTGCTACCGCATGGCAAGCGGTACCGGAGCGCCAAGTCTAGGTCCTAAAGGCTCCTTAACAGCTTCTACACCCCCCAAGCCATAAGACTGCTGACAATAATCAATGGCCACCCGGACTAATGACAACCCCCCACCCTTGTTTTTACCTGCTCACCTACTCCTGTTTTTATCATGATGTCTACCCTACTTGCTATTACCCCGCACACCCCCCCACCCTTTGTATTTTACACTGATATTCACTCGTGTGGTTACTCGTAAGTTAAGCATATTCACTGTAAGCTACCCTGTTGTATTAACTATATGTACAACCAAATTGATGTAATTGGTCCTTAATAGCCATGATTAGATCTTATGTTAACTGCATGTTCATGTTACGTAGTAATTTAGTAATATATGTCTTAACTCTAACTTATGACCGTATGGTGGCTGTAAGTATCTGTCAATGGTAGGCCACCCTATTGTATTGAAAGCACATTTGAAATAAATTTACTGAATCGTTATATTGCATGTTAAATGGAATAATGAATCTAAACATATTATGACGAGCAATGTTAAAGTGACCAGTAATCCCTTATTAAGTTACTGCAGTGATCTGCTATAGTACATATGGACCAGTTGTGGTCCGAACTAGTTGATACTAGTTAGGGCGTAGTACTGTATGGTAAGCCTAGTTTGAACTTTGATTATTTTAATAAGTTATATTGTTGTATTTAAACGATTGTAACAAGATTCAAGTGACATAGTTAAGTGCCTTGTCAACATTTTACAACAGATTATTTCACCTATTGTACGGGGATAGACAGCAGGGTGTTGCGGTATGACAGTGACTTATCTACTGTACTAGGGTGAGGCCATTAGAGGCGATACATTATTTCATTTATTTTATTGTCATTTAGCAGACGCTCTTATCCAGAGCGACTTACAACAATAGGTAGCATTCAGGCCATTAACATGTCCAGTGGATACCACTTTAAAACCAAGGTCCTTTTTCTTGTTACGTGGGCGGGGTAGAAGGTTACTTTAATCCTCATGCCATTCTGATGGCCGTTGATGATTAATGTTTTTTAGTCTTTGAGACGTCTCCAGATCGACTTGACATTGGGTGACATGGCATCCTTACTAGCATGACGATTCTTACCAGTTCTTCTGGGGTTAGAACTCCACTTCTTCTATGCTATCTTCCACTTCCTTCTTCATGGCTTTATTCTCACTTCTTGATGGATCTCTCTACTCTTCATGCTATTCTTACTTTTCATGCTGATTCCTTCCACTTCTTCATGCTATTCTTCACTCTTCATGGTATTCTATCTACTTCTTCATGCTATTCTCATTCCACTTCTTCATGCTATTATTCCACTTCTTCATGCTATTCTTCCACTTCCACTTTCATGCTATTCTTCCACTTCTTCATGCTATTCTTCCACTTCTTCATGCTATTCTTCCACTTCTTCATGCTATTCTTCCACTTCTTCATGCTATTCCTCCACTTCTTTCATGCTATTCTCCACTTCTTCCATCTTCTTCATTTCATGCTATTCTTCCACTTCCTTTTCATGCTATTCTTCCACTTCTTCATGCTATTCTTCATTCCACTTCTTCATGCTATTTTCCATCTTCCATTCCACTTTCATGCTATTCTTCCACTTCTTCATGCTATTCTTCCACTTCTTCATGCTATTCCTCCACTTCTTCATGCTATTCTTCCACTTCTTCATGCTATTCTTCCACTTCTTCATGCTATTCTTCCACTTCTTCATGCTATTCTTCCACTTCTTCATGCTATCTCCACTTCTTCATGCTATTCTTCCACTTCTTCATGCTATTCTTCCACTTCTTCATGCTATTCACTTCTCAGCTTCTTCTTGCTATCTCACTTCTCATGCTATTATCCACTTCTTCATGCTATTCCTCCACTTCTTCATGCTATTTCCTTCCACTTCTTCATGCTATTCTTCCACTTCTTCATGTTTCTCCCTTCTTCATGCTATTCTTCCACTTCTTCATGCTATTCTTCCACTTCTTCATGCTATTCTTCCACTTCTTCATGCTATTCTTCCTTCACTTCTTCATGCTATTCTTCCACTTCTTCATGCTATTCTTCCACTTCTTCATGCTATTCTTCACTTCTTCATGCTATTCTTCCACTTCTTTCATGCTATTCTTACCTTACTTCTTAGCTATTCTCCACTTCTTCATGCTATTCCTTCACTTCTTCATGCTATTCTTCCACTTCTTCTATGCTATTCTCCACTTCTTCATGCTATTCTTCCACTTCTTCATGCTATTCTTCCACTTCTTCATGCTATTCCTCCACTTCTTCATGCTATTCTTCCACTTCTTCATGCTATTCCTCCACTTCTTCATGCTATTCTTCCACTTCTCCATTTCTTCATGCTATTCCTCCACTTCTTCATGCTATTCCTCCACTTCTTCATGCTATTCTTCCACTTCTTCATGCTATTCCTCCACTTCTTCATGCTATTCTTCCACTTCTTCATGCTATTCCTCCACTTCTTCATGCTATTCTTCCACTTCTTCATTCTATTCCTCCACTTCTTCATGCTATTAATCCACTTCTTCATGCTATTCCTCCACTTCTTCATGCTATTCCTCCACTTCTTCATGCTATTTCTCCACTTCTTTATTGTATGCCTCCACTAGTGAATCTGCATGCCTACTAGCCGTAAACCGGAATCAAAGAAATGAGAAAAGAAATACAAGCAGGGAGAAAAACATCACTTTCGATCCCAAACAGTGCAGACCCCTGGCAAAATGTGATGTGAGAATAACTGGGCTTGGTAGATAATGTCAGAGTCATTTATTTTCATGTGGCGTTGTATCTGAGTGGATGGCTCTGCTATGTACAGTTAAGGGCTGTTTTCTCTCTTTCTCAATGTCTCCAACTCTATTTATTCTATAGAGGGCCAAGACATGTCAGGAATACTGATCCATACAGAGAGAGACGGGACATACACACATGGACGAAAGAACACACTACACACACATACACAAACACAAACACACCTTCCCTGGCGTTCTCCATGTGACTCCAGAGAGCAATGCCAATCCAGACTCCAGAGCACAGGGCATGTTTCTTCCTCTGACTGACACGATCTGATAAGGCCAATGTCTCAGTCTGGATATTAAGCTCTCTCTACATGGGATGGCCCCAAAATTGGATTTTTCACACACATTCTGAATACACATTGGGTTATATAGCAGCATCCATATTCTGACTAGGGCTCTCTCACAAGACTGCAGACTGCAGCAGATGTGGCAGATAAAAACCGCAGCATGCTTTTGACTAGTGCCCATAGGGCTCTGAGACACACTCCATGAGTGTGATCTTCATGTTCTAAGGTTTTAAGGCGGACGTGCGCTTCTGCCTGTGCGTCTGTCTGGCTAATTTAACTTTACATGTTCATGTAAATGGTATTAAGTGGGATTCTGAAAAGTTGTCAGCACTTGGGAGAGGGGTGGGTAGTGCTTGTTGTAATCTCACATTTCTTAAATCCTACAAATTCTCATCTTTAAATTAGCTCCATGCTGTTTCCTCTGTGATACACCCACGTGGGGCCTTGTACTTTTTTTATTGATTTCTGACTACTGTATATGCTTAGCGTTCAAGGCTCTAGTATATATCTCCCACGGGGGGCCAGTATGAAAATGTATGCACTCAATAATTTTAAGTCGCTCTGGATAAGAGCGTCTGCTAAATGACTCAAATGTCAATTGCATCACAAAATGTTTTTATTAGGAGGTAATTGATCATCAAACTGTAGATTTTCTTTGCCCTGAATTTATCGTCATTCTTCTTCTGTAATGTATTCTGATTAGTGTCATTTCTGATCATGATATAATTTTCTCCACATCACCATCTGTCTAGATTTCATCCTGACTATCTCTATCACCTTCTCTTAATTATCTCTCAACTGTCTCCGATGAAAGGATCTTTATCTTGTGTAATAAATTAAATACAATAAAGACAGGAGACGATCATGTTCGGTAGAGTTAAATTGGAAGAAAAAGGTCAGAAATAGAATAAAAAAAGGAGGAACTATCTGCACATGTCCAATAAGACACTCTTATTTGTGTTTTCTGCTATGATGTGCCCTAATGAACACAACCCAGTTCACATAGTCCTCAGGTGATGGTGTTGCTTTGGTCCCTGCTCTCTGCTCACCTGTACCCACTGAGGGTATCCATGCAGGTGCCTCCATTGAAGCAGGGGTTTGTGGGGTAGGAGGAACAGGCCTGATGGACACGGTCCCTGGCAGAGCATCCACACACGGCTGAGGACATCATCGTCACAGACACCAGGGTCATGTTCCCGGCATCGACCAGGGTGGGTGTGTCACTGACGCTGAGCTGTGTGGAGCAGCCACCACCCGGCCTGCAGTCTGTGTACACACACTCATCCACCTCTACCTGGGACACGTTCACCTGCAGCAGAGACTGCAGCTAAGGAAAGGACGGGGGGGGGGGGGATAGAGAGAGAAGAAGAGGGGAGAGAGTGGAGAAGAGAGTAGAGGAGGAGGGGGAGATAAGAGGAGGGAGAGAGAATGAGAGAGAGAGCGGAGAAAGATAGAGGGATCTGGGTGATTGTGAGACGATGTGGAGACTTCTCTGGCGAGATGCGTGAGCTCGCTTGTGAGTGTGGCGGGGGGTTGTGGTTAGCCCGGGTCTCTTCACGTCTACCTCCAGCTTCTCGCGCTGCGCGCTCCCCCTCCGTTCGGTGTCTCCGCTGTCGTCTACGCGCGCTCTCTCTGCGCTCTCTTCTCTCGCTCCTCTCTCTCTCTCTCTCGCTCTCGCTTCGCTCTTCTCTCTCTCTCTCTCTCTCTCTTCTCTCTCTCCCTCCTCTCTTCTCTCTGCTCGCTCTCTCGCTCCCTCGCTTCGCTCTCTGCTCGCTCTCTCTCGCTCGCTCCTCATCCGCTCGCTCGCTCGCTCTCGCCTCGCTCGCTCGCTCGCTACTCGCTCGCTCGCTCGCTCGTCGCTCGCTCGCTCGCTCGCTCGCTCGCTCTCGCGCTCGCTCGCTCGCTCGCTCCCTCGCTCGCTCGCGCTCCTCGCTCGCGCGGGTGCGGGCACGTCCGGCGGACGGCGTGTGCTGCCATCCCCTCTTTCCTCCCCGCCCCAGACTGCATCTCCAAAATGGCAGATTTATTTTCAATAAAATAATGAGAACTGAGATAGACAGACAGAGAAAGGAGGGTCGGCGAGAGAGTGAGAGATAGAGGGGATGAGGTGAGGGAGAGAGAGAATGAGTAAGGAAGCAGTTATGAACACAGAAGGGGGAGAGTTGGTGAGAACAACATTCATAAAAAAGATATGAATGCACATTGCACCTATTGGCTGATAAAGAAACGATATTGACAACACCAAGCTCTGCAGCAAGAGATGTATGAGGTAAGATCCCTATCTTCAAGACAGGAAAACATTGAGGCGTGCACCTTCTTTGTATGCGCCGCCAGGTATCCGTGTAGTTTCTCTGGGCGCAGGTAGCCTTTGCTGTGCACAGAGAAGCGCACGTCCAGCGTGTTCGGTCCTACGTCTGTCAGGCTGAAGACGTTGATTGCCCCTGATCTGACGGACAGGTGTTCAGACAGGAAGCCCCTGAACATACCCTGTCGACTCCTCTCGTCCACCCGGGACTCAATAAACTCCCTGGAAGTGATGCCTGCAGAAGGGGGAAACATCACACACATACGCACGCACACACACACACACACACACGCACACACACACACACACACACACACACACACACGCACACACACACACACACACACGCACGCACACACACACACACACACACACACACACACACAGAAACACACCTCAGGCAATAGAAACAAGAGCATTCACTATTCACTGACAAGGGAAGTTGATCAAAGTGAACTCAGTCTTGGTTCCATCAGCAAATAGAATTTCCAACATTCCTCTCGATTGATCTATACTGGCCTCACATTGATTCACTCAATCATGTGGTGAAACTATTTAACTTACCGTTCTCTAATTATTTCCACTGAGACCGATTCTTGGCTCCAGTATAAAACATTGACGGCCTCACTGTCAAATAGATTTAGAGGTCGAAGCATTAGCAATGCAATGCATCTCTTCTAATAATATCGGAGAGGGTGGAAAACGTCATCTTTAATCTCTACAAAGTGAAATTGATGCCCTGGCAAGCCTAATAGCCTTGCAGTCTATTCATAAAATGGATTTTCAAATGTCATGGACTAACCTGGCAGTTTTGAAATTGACCTTTACAATTGGGATTTGCCCAGAGAGAGCCAAAAGACCAAGACATTAAACTTCACGCTTGTGAAAACGGCAGCAGAGGTGTGATACACACTGCTGCTTTTTTGTGATAGGGACTATAGGTTGACGTAATAGATTTGTTATAAAGTACATACCTCACAGCTTGTAAAGGTGAGAAGGTGAGATCCCCCCATTCGACGTAAAACATTTCAATCTTTTGTAAAAGCTTAACATAAATCCAATCCATTGAATTTGCTGACTCACAGTGCAGCCTCAGATTTAAAAGTACCAGTTCTAGATCCAGAGATACTCCCTATTTTAAGGTGTATAAGTCTACAGGTTTCTGTATGTTTTTTAATTCATTCATTTTTTAATAATTAATTTATTCTTTCTTCTCTTTCGATCCAGAGAGCAGCAGCTGATTCCACATGAATTCATTTGACAACCTGATTGACGTGGTCCTCTGTAGCTCAGCTGGTAGAGCACGGCGCTTGTAATGTCAAGGTAGTGGGTTCGATCCCCGGGACCACCCATACACAAAAATGTATGCACGCATGACTGTAAGTCGCTTTGGATAAAAGCGTCTGCTAAATGGCATATTATTATTGAATCCTAATGACAAAACCTTGTCTGTTATTGTCTTTCTCAAACCAAACAAATGTCTCGAAAGCTACATTGTCTATCTCTCCAACAACCGAACAAAGTAAAATAAAAAGCCTGACGTTTGGTGTGGGTGGAAAGATGACTGATAGAGTGCAAGAGAAAGGAAAACAAATGGAAAAAGTTATTAATGTTGACAGGTTCAGACTTATCATCTCATATAGAGCATCCCTGCTGTGGAGTAACAGCAGCTGAAGTAGCACAACTTTAGTTGCTGAACCCAAAAAGGTTCTACCTGGAACCAAAAGGGTTTTACCTGGAACCCTATTGGGACAGTGAAGAACCCTTTTAGGTTCTAGATAGCACCTTTTTTTCTGAGTGTAATCATGACTCATGGCATAAACTGTAGAGTAGATAATACGATGTTGTCATGCTGCAGTAGCTTACCGGTCAGACGCAGGGAGGCTGACGAGTGGATGGCCTTGTCCTCTAGCTCCCGGACGTGAACTGTAACCCCTGACACCACGTCCGGCCACACCCCGTCCGACACGACCACTCTGAGATAGTAGCTGCCTGCTAGGGTGTTCTGTCTGATGGCCAGGTGGCCTGTACTCTTGTCTAGAGTGAAATACCTGTAGGGGGGGAAATAAATGGTGTGGAAAACATAAATGGCTGGGTGGTATTCATTAAGGGAAGATAAAAAAAAAAAAACATTTTAAAAGACAACAGAAAATGGAAATAAGCAGTCCCTCCTTGTTTAAGTGTTTATTCCGTGTTTTATTCCGTTTGGTGCCTACAACCCTGGACTACCAAAGGAAATGAATGGAAATACAAATATTTTGTTCCTGCTGGGAGGTAAATGCTATTCTGTTTACATCTCCACCAAAGGAGCTCGGTAGTTGTCATAGAAACAGGTCGGGATTGGCATATGAATAAAACAGGAATGTGTAAAATATGCAATTGGGATTTTCTTCTGTTCCCTGACTGTGTTAGATGCTAAATTACAAACAATCTTGGTGTAAATATTATTGATCCTTGTTCCCCAGCGAGTCCACCAGTTGATATGATACAAATGCATCCTCTAATTGCTCTAATTACATTCATATTTGACATTTTAGTCATTTAGCAAATGCTCTTATCCAGAGCAACTTACAGGTGCAATTAGGGTTAAGTGCATGTTGAGCAAGAGGCACTTGTTGGCCAAGTAGGAGTTGTGGTAGTCCTCCATCCTTACCATTTCTTTGACTGTTGCTGTTTATTGTCTATCCTGTTGCCTAGTCACTCTACCTCAATTACCTTGTACTCCTGCACATCGACTCGGTACTGGTACCCTGTGTATATAGCCAAGTTATCGTTACTCATTGTGTATTTATCCCTCATGTTATTATTTTTATATTTTTTCTCTCTGCATCGTTGGAAAGGGCCCGTAAGTAAGCATTTCACTGTTAGTTAACTTGATTTGATTTACATTTTCATTTTAGTCATTTAACAGACGCGCTTATCCAGAGCGACTTACAGTTAGTGAGTGCATACATAACATTTTTTATTTTTCATACTGGCCCCCCGTGGAAATCGAACCCACAACCCTGGCGTTGCAAACGCCATGCTCTACCAAGTGAGCTACATCCCTGCCGGCCATTCCCTCCCCTACCCTGGGCCAATTGTGCGCAGCCCCATGGGTCTCCCGGTCGCGGCCGACTACGACAGAGCCTGGATTCGAACCAGGATCTCTAGTGGCACAGCTAGCACTGTGATGCAGTGCCTTAGACCACTGCGCCACTCGGGAAGATTTGACTCTGAGACTTTGAGTGAGATGAGAGTAGGTCATATTTATAGGGATACATATTTGCATCCCTCACATGTTAACTGATTAACTGTCCTGTTATGACTCACGCTGGTTACAGACAAACATAACACCTACCTCATTCCTCCTGCGTCTAAGGTGTAGGTCTTGTTGTCCCAATCATCAGGATCAGGGGCATAGACCTTGCCCAGCGAAGTAGTCCGCATCCTTCCTGTCCAACACACACAAAGACTTTGATTTTGTCTGAAAACAACGGTTTCCAAACCGAACGTGATAGAGGCCCCAGGCCGCTTATCTTCAGCCGTTTTCTTATCTGCTGTTCTGTGATTCTGCTGTTTCTGTTCTTTCTATTCTGTTCATGAGTGTGAAGTCCCACTGTCTGGGTTGAATAGGCTTCCACTACTTGAGATGCGAGGAGCGCTGAGATCTTAAGGAAGTCAGGGCTATCTCAGTATGGATTATGATATTATCGAGCCCCAGTGCCAGCATACTGCAGCTGGGTAAACAACAACGCTGCTGCAGTGTTTCACACAATTACTGAAAAGTAAACTAAAAAAGCCATGTCCATGATCAGAACTTTAACGGGCCTAACAATCACCCCTGAGGAACACCACAGATCTTATAATGTTCAAGTTAACATCAGGGCCAGATACAATTAGCAGAGTGGAAAGAGTGTGTGGGGGTAGAATTTTCTTAAGCCCGAAGGAAGGATTTGTAATCAAGAATCATGAAATGCTGCAATAAAATGTTAATATACAATTCAGGTGTATCAATTACTCATTCAGACAATACAGAATAGGTACACAGAAAGACAGAAAGAACACCTCCATACTGTGCTAACTTGGGTAAAAGCCTGGGTCCATATTCACAAAGCATCTTAGAGTTGGGAGTGTTTATAATGAATAAAAGGGGGGACGTGATCCTAGATCAGCACGCCTACTCTTAGACACTCCTACTCTTAGACACTTCGTGAATACGAATGTCTGAAAGTTGACTGAAGGTTTGGACTCACCCCTCCGGCTGTGAACATAAATTTCCTTCTCTCCCTCCTGGTGGGCGTTGTCATTCTGGTCGCCCACGGTGATGGTGAGCGTGTTGGTGACCGTCATTGGTGGACGGCCGCTGTCCGTCATGACCACGGGCAGGAGGATCTCCCTCTGGCGCTCACGGTCGAAGCGGCGTAGCGCGGTGAGCGTTGCCGTGCCATTGCCATGGTCCTGCAGATGGAAGTCGGGGGTGTAGAGGCGGAAGAGGGAGAGGGAGAAGGGAGGCCCGTTCTCTGGGGAGTCCCTGTCGATAACGTGGAGCAGGGTGGAGGTCTGGTTGAGCCACACCAGCTGTGGAGCAGGGCTGTTCTCCCAGAGGACAGGGGTGTAGGCCACTTCCAGCTCTGGCCCATTGTCATTTACATCCAACAGGCTCAGCTGGACTGTGGCGCTCCCCGTCAATGCTGGACTCCCGCGGTCTGTCGCCATGACAACCAGCTGGTACTCGGGAATCGTCTCTCTGTCCAGCGGGCGGGTCACGGTCACAATGCCGTCTCGGTCCACTATGAAATGACCGTACGGGTCTGACTCCGGGGAGATCCTGTAGACTATTTCCCCATTCAGGTCAGAGTCTGAGTCACTGGCCATCACCTGGGTGATGCTGGTTCCCACGGCAACATCCTCCACAAGAGGGGCGAGGGGGTAGGAGGTGGGGGTGAACACGGGGATGTGGTCATTCTCATCCACCACCTGGATGATGCAGTGGATGAGGCTGGAGAAGTCAGAGTCCTCCACCCGGATGGTGAGGTTGAAGCGCTGCTCGCCGGGCCTCTCATAGTCCAGCCTCTTCCTCAGCCTCAGACTCCCAGACTGCTCTGCTCTGTGGTTCACCATGTAGAACCTCTCCCCCTGGTCCCCCGCCACGACACTGAAGCCCAGCAGGCCGTGAGGGCCCGAGTCTGGGTCCACAGCTTCCAGCTCCAGCACGGTTGAGTCTGGAGGGCTGCTCTCAGACACACGAGCCCCGCACCACTCGTCTTTGAACCGGGGGGTATGGTCGTTCAGGTCCACGATGATGATAGTGGCGGTAGCTGTGCCCACCATGTCCCCTCCATCCCTGGCTTCGACCACCAGCTGGTGCCGCTCTGCCATCTCCCTGTCCAGCCCGCCGGTCACCACGGAGACGGTGCCCGTACTAGCATCGATGGTAAATAGGTCCTCAGAATCCGCGTCACGGGCGTTCTCAATGATACGATAGGTGAGGATGGCGTTCTGACCCACTGCCGTGTCGTCAAGGTCTGCCGCCGTCATCTCCATGACGAAGGTACCTGGGGATGAGTTCTCGGCCACGTTGCCATAGCAGCCATCGGGCGCACAGGTGAAAGCGGGCTCATTGTCGTTGATGTCCCACACGTTGATGATGACATCAGTGAAGCCGGTGAGCCCCTCCCCTTCCTCGTCTGTGGCCAGGACCACAAAGCGCCACACAGCCCGCTCCTCGCGGTCCAGCGTCTTCTGGGCATACATCTCCCCCGTGATCTCATTAATCACAAACTGAGAGTCCGCCCCCTGACCATGGAGAGAGTAGCGCACGGCTCCCTGGTCGGCATCCTTGTCTGGGTCCGTGGCCGTCACCTGGAGAGACACCCAACTCATCAACAATCAACATCTAAGAGTGTGTGTGTGTGTGTGTGTGTGTGTGTGTGTGTGTGTGTGTGTGTGTGTGTGTGTGTGTGTGTGTGTGTGTGTGTGTGTGTGTGTGTGCGTGCATGCATGCGCATATGCCTGTCTTTATAAGCAAGCATCCCATCAATCTATCTTTTCATCCATTGTTTATGTAATAGATAGCAGATTAGTCATGTACATGCATGACATACAGAAGCATGCATTTGATATTTATGCTTGATAAAGATTATCCTGGGTACCTAACTGTTTGTGCATTCAAAATTAATTCCTGCCTTGTCAATGAACAAAACAATGTGTTGACTCAAACTGAAACAGATAGTCACCCAGGCTAGAGACAGAAATAACATGTAGAGTGACATGTCGTCATTAGCTATAGCAAGCACATGTACAGTTAGTATACAGAAGCATGCATTTGACATGGTTGGTTGAGCCTCAGTACCTGACTGCTCAAGCAGAAACCCAGGTTAGAGAAAGAACACACACCTGGAGCACAAAGACCGGCGAGCCATCCAGCTCCTCTGTCACTGAGCCGTAGTACTCATTCATGGAGAAGACGGGCGCCTCGTCGTTCTTGTTGACCACGTTGACCACCACGGCGGCATAGTCCTCCCACTTCCCGTCTGATGCCAGCACCAGCAGCTTGTACCTCTTCTGCTGCTCGTAGTCCAGAGGCTGAGCGATGAAGATGGTTCCAACCTCAGGCTCCATGTCAAACACCCCTCCGGTGTTGCCCGACGTGATCTGGTAGCGCAACTTGGCATTGGCACCTGGGGAGGGACCAGGGAATTTTAGTGGGGGTTTTGGGGGATGGAGTTCTAGATACTGTACTTAGTATTTGGGCAAGTCTGAAATGGCATCCTATTCCTTACTTAGTCCAATACTTGTTTGCCTCATAGTGCTCTGGCCAAAAGCAGTGCTTTATACAAGGAACAGGGTGCCATTTCAGATGCAGCCTCAGTACATATATGTGTCAGCTAGCATGTGTGCCAGAATGTTCCTGCATTCAATGATTTTATGTTGTTGCCTTGTTTGACAAGACAATGACATGTTGGCTAGAGTAGAAATGGACTGGTACCTATTTGCTGTATGTCAACAGGTGGTACATTCCTGTATAATCTACACCTGCCAAATGTAACCCCTACCTACAAATGTAGGATCTTAATTTGATCAAGACCGAGACCGGGAGGGGACAAGGGGTCCGAGACCGAGTCAAGACCAAGTCCAAAAAAATGGGAGTCCAATTCAAGACCATGATTGTAATTTTGTCAAATCGCCACCATAATAAGAGTTCAACATGTCCCTTATTTCTGTGTTCATATTTCAGAAGAACATATTGATTCTTCAGACATTCAGAATGGTGAAAAAATGCATGCTGAGGGAAAATATAGTCAATAGAGTCACTAAGTATTTATTAAATAATAATTATAATAATAACAATTATAATTACATTACTCTTTTCAATGATGTTCTGATTTAATCTATTCAATTTCTGTTGGAAAGGGCTAACACTGAAGAGAAAAAAATATCCAATCAGGATTTTTCTTTGGTGGTCTCTGGGGAAATAAATCTAGCTAGCTAAGTCAGCCATTGAGTAGGCCATCAGAAGCTAGATAGAAGGCATCTGCCATTCAACTGTATTAGGGCAACATTTTGACTTGTAATGGGTGGGACTGTTTTTACAAAAAACATATGGAAACTTCTGCCTTCTCAAAGGCCAAAAGGTCACTGCGCAATAGCGAGCAGTAGTTTTTCCACAGTCTAGCTAGCTATCTTTTATTGTAGGCTAGTTTGCAGCGGCTGCAGCAGGTGTTATCGAAGAGGATGTTGTTGCTAATTTGTTAGCTTCTCCCTTTTCAAAAATAACTTTCAACAAGAAGTTAAGTTTCAAATGATCACCATCTGGTGAGTGGAACAGTGTTTTATATTGGAGCTCGCTTTCTGTTGTTAGCCATGTCTTTGAAAATAAATGTTGTGTGGAACATTGTTGCATTTGAACTTTAGGTCACCGATTACTTTGTGTGCTAAATGTGAAATGTTTCTTGCAATGGGAAGTAATAGTTGTACATTTTGATTAGGAAATGCTTAGCCTAATGGTTGTGTTTATGCATTCTTATGATTGGGACCTACTGGCTTATTATGTCTGAGTGAATGGACTGCTTATCTTTAACATCATGCTGTGTGTGACTGCTGTCTTTCCATCTGCCCTATGCAGTGGTGTAGTGGTGCCTGGAGAAGTGGGTATATTCAAATTTTGCAAAAAAAATCCCTAACAGTATTAACAGTAATGCACTTTTCATGTAGCCTACTTTTGGCCAGCTAACCACCAATCAAGCAATATTATGGACTAAACGTTCAAATCCTGTTGCTGACAGATTATTTTGCTGTGACAATATAGGTCAAATTAAGATCCTACATCTATATGTCACTTTGAGGGTTGAGAAATGGACCAATGAGGAAGTAGATCTCTGAACTTCTCCAGTGTGTGTCCATGGAGACTGTCCAGTGGGCTAATTTAGCCAGATAAAATAATCCCCTGGATATTTCATGGCTCCCCTTTCAATCAGTCTGTTGTGTTAAAGGAGCTACAAGCCCAATGTAAATACTAGTCTAATCTCTGCTATTAACATAAATCAGCAGACAAAGCGTTCCCTCAGGGCTCTCCTATAAGCTTCTACTGCAGTTGAGCCCATGTGTGGATAGAGAAAAAGGCAGATTGGGTTTAGGCTCCTTTAAATGCTGGGGGCTAGTGCTGTCTGGTCGTTCATCTTGGCTTGGTTGCAGCTTGCGCTACATAGGCTACCCTCTAAACTAAGCCGCACCAACCCTCGCTTGCGATAAATACTTGATTAACAACTAAAAACATAGCCGATATTACGCAGAGCGTTGCCGCTGTACAGGAGATAAGCTGGTTTATCACACCAAATCCCACCCACCTACTGTGTAGGAGGAGTGTATCTGTCTTTTTAGAACATGTGTGGTGTTGCATTACTTGACTATCAAATGGCTGCGTCTTAATGTAGGCTGCTTACCTCGTCTCAGCATGATTCCAGCAGAGCTAAATCCAGATGGGGAGATGGCACTTGTGGTGAGTCATTTTGGAACATTTTAACCCTTCAATGCCCTCAGTGTCTCAAAAATGAACCCTTCCCTGCCCTCATGGTCTCTAAAACTAGACGAGTCTAGGGTTGGGAAACATTTAATTATTTGATTGACAGTTACCTCTGCCCGATGTGTAATGTCATACCAAGGACAATTTTGGCCCTGCACAGAATGTGAAAAAGAGACTTTTCCCTCAGGTTTCTCATGAAATGTTAAACCTGTGCCAGGTTACCTGCCTCACTGCCTTAAAAAAATGAATGTTATACATTTGCCCATTTCACTGCCATGAGTGCTAATGTGCCATCACTGGTGGAAACGCTTTGGGCTTCATTCCTCTCTCTCTCTTTCTTCCCGTGCCATCTCATCCTTCCTTCCATACCTTCATCTTCGTCATTAGCACTGACGGTAACAACAGCCAGGCCGACATCTGCATCCTCGTCAACCCCGACTTCATAGAGGCGCTGAGCAAAGACGGGTTTGTTATCGTTCACGTCGCTGATGAAAACCCGCACATATGCCGTGTCTGCAAGAAGGACGACAAGCAAGAGACAGATTAAACACCACACAGCTACAACTCACTCTGTCATCCTCTCTCTCTCTCTCTCTCTCTCTCTCTCTCTCTCTCTCTTTCTCTCATCTCACCCTTACACTTCTCATTCCATCCCTTCCAATCCCTCTTTTCATCAGAGGATGTTGGCAGTCACTGTGTGAGCCATTGACACTCTTGTGGGGAGAGAAGCACTTAACCTAATGTAATGTGCCTCACTTGACATGGAAATCAGAAATAATGTTATTCTCGACAGGGTGTTCGGAATTACAGAAATGATTCAACCAGAGTAGATGGTTCACTGTTTAAGCCGGGTAACATTTTGGCAGCAAACAAAATGTTAGCTAGACCTCCAGGAACTGACTTTTCTGAAATAAATAAAAGTTTAAGAACCTATCCACTTCTCCTCTGGGATGGCAAGTGTTTACTTCTCTGTCTGTCTGGTTCTTTTTCCACACCATTCTTTATGTTTTAACTCAAACATAGATATATTTTGCTAAAAAAGGTTAGTAATGTTTCGCAGATGTGGTACGCTCAGAAGGTAGGAACATGGCCATGTATACAAATGTGCTTCTATTTTTCTGTCTGCATTCCCCTGGGCTCGCTCTCTCTCTCTCTCTCTCTCTCTCTCTCTCTCTCTCTCCTCTCTCCTCTCTCCTCGCTCTCTCTCTCTCTCTCTCTCTCTCTCTCCTCTCTCGTCCTCTCTCTCTCTCTCTCTCTCTCTCCCCCTCCCTCCCTCCCTCCCTCCCTCCCTCCCTCCCTCCTCCAGTACTCCATTGTTTCCCGGGGGTAAACCCGACAGACAGGTAGTATTTACTAAAGAGATGAGCCCTTCTGCTGGTGAAGATATGTAGCAGAAGACAGCGCTAACATAGTGCTAAGGTTCATTTGGAAATGCTAAGCAGCCCCCTCACATCCCCTAGAGAGGAGGCTTTGCTGTTCACCCTTACCCCTAATACCGTCTCCGCAAACATTTGTTAAAAACCCCTCATCCATAACGCAAACCTTCCTATTACATCACCTGCGATACCAAAACAGAATGCATTCTGTCATCATGTATGACCAAGCCAAAGAGATATTATGATTTCTGAACAGTCAATTGAGAAATTCAAAAACATTTTGTAAAATGATGTACCACAACCCTCACAGCGTTTTACCATAGGGAAGAGACAAGAGGCTGTCTGATTACGCTGGTAGAATAAATCAAATGAAAGATTCCATTTGCATATGCTCTTGCAGGAGGCAAATGAATAGAATGCACTAGGCATTTATTTTTTTCACTCCATATACAAATTTAAACATAAGAACAACAACTTACAGACGCACACAGACAATGACTACATCTCCTCTGCCCAGACCCGCCTGCTCATACCTCCATCCCTAGTGCCTGCATTATTGTTTGCCACTTGGCCTTAAATTGTATCAATTCGTTTTTTTCAGTCGCCCATGCTATTCAATATTTCAATGAATCATTTCATTTTTCCATTGTGTTAATGATGGCGGATTGATTGATTTCCACGTTTTTAGTATATGTTTTTTCCAGATGAGTGATGAGAAGAGAATCATCCAGCGAATCATCCAGCCCATTGGTATCTTACTACACCCCTATATGACATGTCTTGAAATATGCAGACAGACGGATTAAAAATACGTTACATTATAATACTTATGACAGCCTACTTTCTAGCTCCGCCCACAACTTCCAGACTTTATAGTATTCCCAGAAAGCATGGATTATTAAGTGATTATTAGTTTTACACTTAAAACATGGCCCTGCCGTTGTGTTGTAGAATTTGTGAATTTTGTCTCTTTTATAATAAATTATATATATTATTTTATACTGGATTAAGTGTAAAATTGTTAAATTACGAGCCTAGTTGGTTTAGCCACGGAAAAAGACAGGAACCTTCCCGCTAGCCATGATTGGCTGAGATAATGGATGGGCTGGACTGTCATGTAGAATGCTTCTGTCTATAGCTAACATGAGCTGCTCAGTATGTGTAAGTAATCCTTTCTTACGCTGCATTTTTAAAAGATATCACTAAAAACTGCAAATGTGTTGCTAAGGCTCTCCACTTTCTGGAGGACCGAGTTTTGAAATCAGTGGAATGCCCGGTGGAAGCAGAGTATGATAGCTAAGGAAATGGCGAAAATGTAGGCATTTGATTGCAAATGCGTAGGGAGTCGAAAAGAGAACACGGAAGGCTGTTGTGTTGTATAAAACACCTGTCTTCGGATTACATCATTAAACTAAGGGCAACCATGGCATCTGTGACAGAGAGGGAGAAGCGTTCAACCATGTATGCGGGTAAGAGAGTCTAGCTAGCTACATTTTCAGATATTATACATTTCAAATAAAGTAATTTTCATTGTAAGTTAAAGCGTACTGTTAGCTAGCTAGCTAGCTAACCATAGCTGGCTGGCTCGCTAGCTAACGTTAGATGTATGATCTGTGTAGTAATATTATTCGTATCTCAGAGCCATTTGCATTGCTAGTTATAGACTAATGTTAGCTAGCTAACATTGAACCTAGTAGTTGGTAAGCTTTAGCTACCTGTAGATTCATGCAGGGTAGTAATATTATGAGTTGGGATTGGTTCATTGTTTAGCTAGCTAGCTAGTTACATGTCTGAACAAAAGACTCCACTATGCAAGTAACCATTTCACTGTACCGTTTAACCTTCTGTATCCTGTGCATGTGACAAAGAAACATTGATTTTATTTGATATAGTGTGTGTTTATCACAGATGGTAATGTGAAGAATAACATGGCCTGCACCAAAGTCAAAATAGGATATAACGTTAGGCCAATGAGACAGTATACAAGTTCTGAAATTCTCCGGTAGAATGCCCTGCTTTTATTTTGTCACACTCACAACCGTAAGCTATTTTCTGTAATTAGCTCGCCATAAAAAAAAAACATGTATGCACTCACTAACTGTAAGTCGCTCTGGATAAGAGCGTCTGCTAAATGACTAAAATGTAAAAATTAACTTGTAAATAATGATCTTGTTGTGAGTTTATTTTCCTGTAATAATGAATACAAATGAGCTAAGGTGAAGACGTTGTCAGCTATATGATATGGTCATTATTTGAACTGACTAGCCAGCTAACTTAACATTAGCTAGCTAGCTAACAAGCTAGAAACGAACCAAAACATTGTTTAGAAAGTTGCTTTTAGTTGCCTGGTTTGCTAGATTGACATACAGTATACTAAATTCATTTTTAAATGGATGGGTTTATTGGTGTTAAAATACACCAGTTATGCTATTTTGGACCACCAGGTTGCTGATGTCATGCGGCCTGTCGTTTTTGTGTTTATACTTTTTCATAATGACAATGACAAGTTTGATGTCGGACGACAATAGAATGTTCATAATGTCACTGCGACAAATGTATACAGACATGTCGATAGACGTAGTATAAACCAGCCTTTAGTTTTGAAATCTTTGGTTGTTTAGTACACTACAGTACTCACTCTGTTTAGCACATGGCCTCACATGTGAATCCTTAAAGAGATGGGTGGGGCTAAGGCTTAAGAGGGTGTGAACGATACTGAATGGGTGTAGACAAAGAAGAGCTCTCCAGTAGGTGTACCAAAACATTCAAGGGCCATTTTCTCAAAAGTGGGGTTACAAGTTTATCAACTTTCAAAGCAGAATTTATTTTCCATTGTTCCGCAACTGTAGTGTATGATATACAATTTTCTAGCTCTGAGTCTCTACTTTTATCTAACGTAAAAAACACAATTTCAAATTTTGCTACATAAGACCGAACCGAGCCGGTCGGTCACATGTACCAAACAGAAAAAAACAGACTGAAACAGGGAGGGAGTAACTGAATTTAGAAACTCTTTGTTTCCCATTGCAAACCATTTTCCTACGTTCTGCCCTAATAAATACAACCCATCCCTCACCAGAGTTGGGCTGTTTGTTCCTCCCAGGCCGTGCTGACTCCATGCCGTCTTCAGACTGAACCTCCAGTAGGTAGGATCCCTGCGCCTCGCGGTCAAGCACAGCCTCTGTATAAATGGAGCCCAGCTCTGGATCTACACGAAACAGACGGTGGTCCCCACTACTGTCACTCAAGAGGGAGTAGGTGATCTATAGAACAGGGACAGAGTATTAATTACGGTATCCATGTTAAGAAGTCAACACATTACAGAAATCTGATGACTTCCTAATATGGATGCCGTACAGCATCATTCTATCACATCCATGTTGTCACTTCTACCATTGGAAACGCCAACGATAAACGGCGCTGTAGTAATCGTGAGTGCAGGGGAGTAATTGTTCTACGTATGAGTCACACGACTGTTCATAGAAACTAGAGTCACTGCATCATAATCCTTATATAAGTACACCTTCACAGTCCTATGGTCAAAGCCACACAGGCAGAATAACACACAGTCCTGTCACGGTTTCGGCCGAGGCTGCTCCTCCTCCTTGCTCGGGCAGGCTTCGGCGGTCCCCCCCCCCCCCCCCCCCCCCCGGAGTACTAGCTATCACCGTTTGATGTTTTCGATGTTTGATTGGTTTTGTCTTGTGTGTACACCTGTTTCCTTTTTTGGTTGATTATGTCTCCTATAAGTTTCTCGTTTTGTTAGTCATGTGTTGTGTGTGATTGTTCGCCTGTCATCAGGTGCGGCTTGTCTTTTGTATTTTGTATTTCCTTTCGTCGCACTGTACTGTTTTCGTGCGTTTTGGATTACTTGTGTTTTGCGCATTGTTGCGCATAGTCGGCCTCCTATTTTGTTTTGAGGCCAGTGTCGAGATTCATTGTGTTCAGTAAAGTCGGTTGGACTTAGCTTCTGTGTTCTGCGTGTGACTCCTCCACCACATCCACATCAGCCAATGTGACAAGTCCCAACCACTTGACCACCACAACTATGTGATATTAAGTTATGGATGGGTCAATGGATGTTGTGTTGTGTTGTGTTAGATGTTGTAGATGTGCAACTAACCTGTCCGTTGAGATCCAGGTCCTTGTCTTGAGCAGACACCTGGAGGACCATGGTCCCCACCTTGGCTCCCTCCGTCACTGACGCCTCGTAGGTGGAGGAGGTGAAGAAGGGAACATTGTCGTTCACATCTAAGGGACAAGATTGAAAACATAATAATTTGAAGATTAATTTCAGCACCTATACCCAGGACTCTAAATTAAAAAATGTAATTGGTAGCCCTGGTGCTCCCAACTTAAAAAAGTTAGGAGCACCACATTGAATTTAGGAGCCTATATTGGCCCTATATGAATTCTAGCTAAGCACGTTGTGCCCTAGAAACTATATGTAACACTTTAAATACATTAGTTTATTAAAATAGCTAAAATGTTGATACTGTACGAATACCTGTAATTGAAATTACAAAGTCATTTTGTGGAATATTAGGTTTCTACATTGTGTAAAAGCTTGTACACTGTCTCTTTAAAAACATCAGGTTGTGATAACGACATGCAAGACATCTGTTATTCATTCATTGCTATGATCATTGATCTCCTGAAGAAGCTATCACGTTTCCTTTCTTTCTGTGCCCCTAAATGTTTGGATATACCCGTAAAGTTATCAGGGCCCGGTTTCCCGATAGCGATGGAATTTAGGCTTATCAGTGTTTTAACAATGCATATTTCCTACAAAGGCTGAAGATGTAACATGCGTTTCCCAAAACACGACACAGAAAGAGCATGTGCCGATACTGATAGGATCGAAAGAAAGGCGGCGCTGCTCTCTGATCAGCTTTCTCCATTCAAATCTTACCTGAACATTATAATTATTTCACAATATTGATGACTGATCAGCTCCTAGAGAGATATTATCACCTAATGGCTGCAATTATTGAGGTGGCTTATTCTAACGCTTACCCAATAATAATGCACTTAATCACAGATTCATTTGGCATATCATTGCGGACGTTGTTACACATCATGTAATATATTGAGGCAACAATTACAGACAGTGTATCCTACAAATAGAACTCAATTGACTGAACATTAAATTTCAATATGATTTACAGTGTCTTCAGAAATTATGTATACCCCTTGACTTATTCCACATTTTGTTATAATATTATATAATTATAGCTGAGAAAAAACAACAACGTATGAGTCATGGATCAATGTCAACAGAAGACAATAATGAATGCTTACAGTTCACCCAGGGGCGGCTTTAACTTCCTCTTAAGTGACATTTTCACTTAGTCTCCCAGTGACATCAATGCATGACTAAGTAAAAACATTGACGTTAAGTGGAAGTTAGGATTTGCCCCCTAGTGATGGGTTGATGTGTGTCTGAGTTGAGACCTACCTGTGACGTTGACATAGACGGTGGTGAATGCAGCCAGTGGTACCGCCGCTAAGTTCTGAGCCCGCACCCTCAGGGAGAAACTGGGCGTGGTCTCATAGTCCAGCGGCTCCGACACCAGGATGGAGGCAGAGCCATCCTCGCGATTGGGTGACAGGTAGAAGCGCACGGGCATGTTAGTCTCCGGGACCACACCCTCCTCCAGGTTATAGGTCACCCTGGGGTCGCCTAGCAACGAGGTTGCTTTGATCGTCTGACAAAAACAGAAAGCAAACAATCTTTTTGGGGGGGTAATTATGACAAAAACATAAAATGGGATTTCCTGTATAATACTGAGGTAATTTGGTTGAGGAGCAACAATTAGCACTCATTGTCAAGTCAATTAGCGCTTATTGATTAAATCAGAGCATTCAACCGAAAATGCAATGGGATAGGCTTCCCATGCCACCAAGGCTGGTACACGGACTGTTCCACGCACCACAATGGGGGTATCCCTGGCAGTGTTCTCTGGGATAACCACGCTGTAGCTGTCCTTTTCCCACTGCGGGGGCTGGTTCTTCACGTTGGTAATGGTCACAGAAAGCTCCACAGATGTGCTGCGGTTCCCCCCGTCCATGGCCACAATCTCCCGGGTGATGTAGGACCTCTGAAGTCAAAACAATAGCAAGGAAATACGATTCTGTCTGATAGGGTTCATTCAGTTCATTAAGCCTGATATGGTCCAGTAAGTTTATGACACTGTATTTTATACTGCTATATAGCTGTATCACCCTGCACTGATCAATTATACCGTGCTTGAGCAAGATGCTGGTTGACTGACTGGTTGACTGGCTGGACGACTGACCTGTGATATGGGCTGGTTGACTGACTGGTTGACTGGCTGGACGACTGACCTGTGATATGGGCTGGTTGACTGACTGGTTGACTGACATGTGATAAGGGCTTGTTGACTGATGATAGACTGACTTGTGATATGGGCTGGTTGACTGAATGGTTGACGTCTGGTTGACTGACCTGTGATATGGGCTGGTTGACGTACACCCAGCCGGTAACAGGGTTGACCCTCAGGTACTCAGGCTGCTCCTGGGACATGGAGTAGGTGACGGCAGCGTTGATACCAAAGTCGTCGTCATGTGCCGCCACACGCAGGAAACTGGTGCCGATCATGGTGTCCTCTCTTAGAAAGTCTGTGAGAGACAATCCAGACAAAACTATATGCTCAACACCCTGGAGCAAGGTCACGGTCTGTCACAGGCTGAATCAGTAGACCACAAATCAATTGTTTACATGCTTACGTGTGTTTATGTATGTTTACATCTTTATGTATGGCAATACATTTAAAAACATAATGGCAACATGATGGATTATGATGAAAACTTGCACCAGAGAATAAAGTAAAAAGGAACTATGCATAACGCATAGTACATAAACCCTTTTTGAATAGCTTTGGTTAATAGTCTATACCATTATAATGAATGGTTAGTCTGCAATCAATCATACGTATTATTAATATTATATTATTATCATATTATGTATTATTATATGTATAATACGACACTCACACTCGTAGCACAGGTTCTCAAACTTGGGGCTGTTGTCGTTCTGGTCCAGGATGAGGACGTTGAGCTGACAGATCCCTATAAGGGGCTCCTCAGCCCAGTCTGTAGCCGTCACCGTGATAGAGTACTCTCTCTGACGCTCCCGGTCAAACCGCCGCGCTGTCATGATCACACCTGAAACATCCAGAGGTCAGAGGCCAAAGGTCATGACTAGACTCCTTGAGGTAACTACTTTATGTGACCATGAAATTGAGAAAAAATTCAGGGCCCTAGTTTGAGCCTATCATTTCAGTCCTTAAGTTTTTTTTTTTCCTGGTCAGCTCATGTGGTCAGGAAAAACTCAAGGTTGTAGTCACGACTCAGCGTTAGAGTGGCTCGTTAATATAATAGCTCTATTTGTCATGTCATTATTGATTAACATATTGTTCTATTTATCCTGAAACCATTTATGATTAATACAGTATATTGTTATACTGCAAAATGTGATGGATAGGACATAAATAAAGGTTAAGTATGAGGTGTAACACTTCATTTCAATGGGGCTCTTTGGATTATTGGACAGGTATAAGAGGTCATTAATCGGGCACTAGCATTATTCTTTTTTTTATTAAGAGTATGAAGACTGCATGGGAATTGTAGATTCAGCTACATGTTTACCCCTTTTTTTCTTTCGGTCAGTTTCAGCTGCTATGTTGTAATCCCTATATGCTCACATCCTGCTTGGCTATGGCTACGGCTCTGTCTATGGCGCTGTGACTATGGGTCTATGGCTACGGCTATGTCTATGGGGCTGTGACTATGGGTCTATGGCTACAGCTATGTCTATGGGGCTGTGACTATGGGTCTATGGCTACGGCTATGTTTATGGGGCTGTGACTATGGGTCTATGGCTACGGCTCTGTCTATGGGGCTGTGACTATGGGTCTGTGGCTACAGCTATGTCTATGGGGCTGTGACTATGGGTCTATGGCTACGGCTATGTCTATGGGGTATGGGGCTGTGACTATGGGTCTATGGCTACGGCTATGTCTATGGGGCTGTGACTATGGGTCTACGGCTATGTCTATGGGGCTGTGACTATGGGTCTATGGCTACGGCTATGTCTATGGGGCTCTGTGACTATGGGTCTATGGCTACGGCTATGTCTATGGGGCTGTGACTATGGGTCTATGGCTATGGCTACGGCTGTGGCTAACTCAACAAGTACCACCACGGCTAACTGGATTGTGGGATCCTTGCTGACTGTACCTACCTGTGTCAGGGTGGACTCTGAAGGCAGGTATGGTGCTGTCTCTGTGCATCAGGCCGTACTTGACCTTCCCATTGGCCCCCTCATCTGCATCCACCGCGTGCACTTGCAGTACAAAGGTCCCTGTGGGTTGGTTCTCCAACACGGACGCCTGCTCCCTGTACTGCTGACACTGAGAGAGGAAGGATGTGTGTGTGTGTGTGAGAGAGAGAGAGCGAGAGAGAGCGAGAGAGAAGAGCGAGAGTATAGAGAGCCGGAGAGATATAGAGATAGAGGATCAGGAGATCGAAGAGAGGAGCGAGCGATAGAGACAGATAAATGATATATCGCTGCGACTGAATATAGCGAGAGAGAGAGAGAGATAGCTATGATATAGTCGAGAGAGAGAGCGAGAGAGAGGCAAGAGATAATTCATAAAATAAGGTTTTAAACTACTCATGTCCTCTAATGGTCTACATTGTACAGTAACACGTGATAGGACAGAAACAAGCAATGGTATTGCTTTGTTTGAAGGTCCACCACGCTCAAACCTCAACTCACATTGCAGCAATTTGGCAACCGCTCACACCTGTGCACCCTTTCCTTGCAAAAAAAAAAAAACCATGCTCACCCCGTCTTCCTGTTATCTCACTATCTATATCGTACTGCTCCTATCTTCCTAATCTTGCTACTTTAAGTACTCCCTCAATGACTCTGGCCCCCGAGAGAAAGCTTGTCTTAATTAACACAACAATACACGTAAAATACTCTCTCTCACAATACGCTCTTCTCAGAGTACCACGTATTCATTGGCATATTTTTATGGCCCAATAAAGTTACATTGCCTAAACTAAACCACACCCCCCCTTAAAACCAACAGTGCAAAAAGAAAAGCACCCAAACAAAAAATCACCCCCTGACGCACCACATAAGAGAGAGAGAGAGATAGAGATGAGAGAGAGAGTGGGCGAGAGGAGAGAGATAGAGATAGAGAGAGAGAGAGAAAGAGAGGAGAGGAGAGGAGAGAGAGAGATAGATAGAGAGAGAGAGATGACGAGAGAGAAGACAGAGAGAGAGTGCAGAGGGAGAGAGAGGGGCGAGAGAGTAGAGAGAGAGAGAGAGCAGAGAGAGAGAGAGAGAGAGAGAGTGAGAGAGGGCGAGGGAGAGAGAAAGAGAGAGAGCCGAGGACTGATAGTATATGTTGTGCGAGATAGATAGAGATAGATAGTATAGATAGCTAAAGAAATCAGAGAGAGTTCAATATTTATGCCTCGATATTGTTTCTATACTGATCTATCCGATCTCTAGCTTTCTATATAAATATATATTTCATATTTATATATATTTTTTGATCTATCGCTCGCTCTCTCTTTTTCTCGTTCTCCCCTTTCTCTTCTTCCCTCTCCTTTCAATTTTTATCTACATTGTCTATTGTTTTGTCTCTATATCTATAGATCTATATCTATCTTCGCTATCTCTATCTCTCCATATTTCATCTCCTCTCTTGTCTCTCTCTCTTCTACCCCTTCCCTTTCCTCTTCTCTCGCTCTCTACTCTCTCTCGCTATTATGATTATCTATATATATATATATATGATATAAATATATATTATATATACTACGATATAATCTATATATATATATATTATATCTTAGATCTATTGCTATATCAGATACTATATTAAAATCAAGAAGATAATTCAGAAATAAGTGTTATTCACTGTAACTACTCAATTTACTCTATTTCTACATTTGTACAGTACACAATTACACGTTATCTGAGACAGAAAAACCAATCAATGGTATTGCTTTGTTGAAGGGTCCAAACTCAACCACACACCGCGCATCAAAATCAACAAAAAAAACCCCTCAACCTCAATCAAGCATTTCAACAAATCCGCCCTCACACTCACCCGAACCATTTCAACCTTTCCATGCTCAGCACCTCACAAACGGGATCCCCCACGCCGATCCACACCCCTCCCCCTCCTCCCTCCCCCTCCAAATCCCCCCAAATCTCCCTCCGAATCAACGTGCAAAACACCGCTCACTACTGACCCCTAGTCTTTCCCCTGGTATCCATCTACTCTGTCCTATCTACTTAAATCACCTACATGAGTCTGTTATCCTCAATATGGAGTTGAGTCTGCCCCCCAGAATGAGTCTGCCCCCAGAGAACTCTGTTTAATATTAAAACAACAACACATACCAATTACATACTCCTCAAGTACCGGTATTGGCCCATAGTTCCCATTGCACATTGCAATAATAAAAAAAGCAACAAAAGCACCCCCCCTGACGCACCCAACCACAGATCAGCTATATATAGAGATATATAGAGAGAGAAATAGGTCGTGCCCTCCGTGATATCTAAGTGGGAGGTGCTGCTTTCATAGGACTCGCAATAGAGCAGATCTATAGAGAGAAGATAGTACGATAGAGATGAGAGCATATCTAGCTCGACCTCTATCCGCCTCTCTCCTCTATATCCCTCCTCGCTCTCCATTTCCATCATTTCCTTCTCCTCTTTTTCTCTCTTCTCCTCTACTCCTGATGCTCTCGTCCTCTATCTCTCTCTCGCGTTATACTCTATCTCTTTCTCTCTCCCTCTCTCTTCCACTCACTCTCTTCCTCTCCTGCTTTTTTCCTCTTCTTTTTTCTACTCCTCTCCTCCCTCTTTTCCCCTTTTCCCCCCTCTCTCTCTTCCCCCTCCCTCTCTCTCCTTGTCCCTCGTTTCCTTCTTCTCTTTTCTTTCCTCTCTCTCTTCTTCTCTTCTCGTATTCTCTCCTTTCTCTCTCCCTCTCTCTTCTACCCTACTTTCTCTTCTTTTTTCTTCTCTCTGCGCCTCTCCTCTTTTTTCTGCCTTTCTCTTCCCCTTTCTCTCTCCCTCACTCTCTTTCCCCTGCTTTCTTCTACCTTTTCACTCATTCGCTCTCGCTCTCTACTCTCTCTACTCTCTGGCTCTCGCCTCCCTCTCTATCGTCCACCTAACCTCTTCCTCTCAGTACCCTCAGGCTATGGTGACTAGCCGCCCCTCTCAGTCGTCGCAATACACCCTCACCTTTCACCTGTCAAGAGAATCCCCACTATCAGGGTCTATTACTTGAACGATCAGTTGAACCAAGGGGGTGTAGATCTTCGCACAGCTACGCACTGGCTCATGCTCTGCATCTCTCTCATCGTCCTGACGTGGGTGCCTACTCTCTCCCCCCTCTCTCTCTTTTCTTCTCTTTCCTCTTTCTCTTTGCTTCTTCTCTTCTAGCCCTCCTCCCCACCCGATCCTTCCCCCCTTATGCCTCTACCTCTTCTCCCGCTCTCAATATCAAGTCTTAAAATATGAATCATAAAAATATAGAATGTCATTCTTTCAACATCAGGCTCAAGTCAGGGCCCTGGCTCCTGGGTATCTCAGTTTCATTTACAACATTCAGGAGCAGAACAATTCCTCATTTTCATGATATCTCATTCATTCAGGCAATGAACTATCACTATTTAGACAATACTCCACCGATCCTATCAACCACAAGTCTACCGACTCAACCTTAAAATATCAACTCGAAAAACCTATCCACTCCAAGCCATCCGCTGGACCCGCAATACTCATTCATGGATTTTAATGAACACTCGTAACCACGTCTCATAGACCCCTAATCTACGTGAGGTCTTCATCATTTTGAACCAGACCAACAAACTATAATAGATATAAATCATGATGATACAGTACTTTTTTAATAATTAAACTATTTTTCAAGGCATTATCATCATATTATAAACACACCTTCCTTTTTTTCTACTTTTTACTATTTCCTCTGTTTACCTTCAAAAATCGACCCCTTCCATAGTCCTTTTTATCTCAAACAGTACTGGTCACCTCTCTCTTTTTTTCAATTCAATCACTTTTTTTTTTTTTTTTTTTTTTCATCAATTAATATAATATCTAATTCAAATCCCTGTGGAACGCCCTAAAGCAATAAAATTACATGGGTGGATCGGGGGCTGCGACCACCGCCAAACATACCCCAGCCGCCAGACATCGGACAGACACTAGGGCAACATAACGACCCAAGCGCAATAGCCGAATGAAGACCATAGCACAAAGGAGTGGGGGGTACGTCCCAAACTCCGACAGCGTCCCGAATGAGATGGCCATCAGTCACCGAGTCGCCTTCGCGGAGGTGCTGGAGCACAAAACTACGGGACTGGCGACGCATGCGATCTCAAGGGATGGGTGGACAGAGTCCCGATTACGCCCACCGTGGTAAGGACCCTCCGTACGATTCTCGACATTCGACGCGGTAAACACGTCGGGCACCCAGTTCTCTGGTGAAAGTTGCATACGGGACTGGCAATCGTAGCTCAGCGAAGTTCGGAGTACAACCCCGAAACGTGCGGAGCACGTCGGGTACTTCAGGCCGGGTGCCCTATAGAGGCAGGTAGAACGACAAACTCAGCCTAGAAACATCCCTGTGGACGGGAACTCTAAATTCAGCATTAGGTGGCAGGCTGACAAAACACTAATCCAGAAGCTCCTCTGCGGTGGGGGAAACATAAGGGTAGACTTAGGAGACAAGAAAAAGGTGGAAGTGGTACAGAGAGACAGAGGCGAGAGAGAGAGAGGAGAGATAAGAGAAATAGATACTCAGAGGATAGAGAGAGAGAGATAGAGAGAGAGACATGATAGAGAGCGAGAGAGAGAGAGAAGCATAGAAGAGAGAGATAACAGACAGACAGACAGACCAGACAGACAGACAGAACGACAGACAGACAGACAGAGCAGACTTAAAAAGGCTCCCTAGAAGACCGTTTTTTTTTTTTCTTTTTTTTTTTTTTAACCACTACTATGTTACTGTAACTCACTGTTGTCTATAACTGTGTATAAAAGGATCTCTCCACAAAATACACACACAACACCCATCCCCACGTAATACCCCCCAACAATTCTTTTTTCCCTCCGACCTTTTTTTCATCTCCCCCACAACTTCTGGCCCACTCTTTTTTTTTTTTTTTTTCCTATTCTTCCCTCCCCACCCTCCCGCGATCCCTCCTACACGTCCCAACTATCAGGAGACCGCGGCGGTTGTAAGAGAGTGGTGTGTGGTCCCGCCACCCCCCGGAGGCGTTGTTGTCTGTAGCCGTTACATTGAGGACGTACTCCAGGCCCTGGAGCTTGGGAGGGGGGGTGGAGCGCAGCCGGATCAACCCTAAAACGATGAGAGACCAGAGTACCATTACAACCTTAGCAAAGGACCCCCACCTACTGTTGGGGGCATTAAAAAGTTAGTTTTTAGTTTTGCTGCAGCCAGGTACATTGAATGCCACCAACTGTACTGTCACCCAGGTCAGCTGAGAAAAGGTTCTCCTTCCCAAGGATAGAAACCAGGCTGCACGCATGCACATTTGATTCTTCTCCCCTTGTCTTGCTTTTGCATAACAGGAAGGATAAAATAACAGTTGAAAGGAGAACAGCATCTGAGTCAACTGTTCTCTCTGTCAACACCAACATCAATGGGTGCAGGATGAGCTACTTGTGATCTGGGGAAAGCTCATTGATGTAAAAGAGAGAGACAGAGCGCAAGAGAGAGAGAGAGAAAGAGAGAGAGCGGGAGAGAGCGAGAGAGAGAGAGCACAGGACTTTTTGCTCTTGTTGTGGTATCACTCATCTCTCACTGCTCCTCCTGATTAAAGACAACAAGCATGCACCCAAATGGGGCCGGTGTTCTCTCACTCCACTCGTTCTGACTGTAGCCTACTTATTTCTCTCTCATTGTCTGTGGAGAAGGAGGTCTCTGCTTATACAGACAATGCATGTTAATCGAAAATGTCTAGACACAAAACTATTAATGATATAACATATTTCCCAGGTCTCATGTTGTTTTAGTCATACTGTACAGTGGGGAAAAAATGTATTTAGTCAGCCACCAATTGTGCAAGTTCTCCCACTTAAAAAGATGAGAGAGGCCTATAATTTTCATCATAGGTACACGTCAACTATGACAGACAAAATGAGGAAAAAAATCCAGAAAATCACATTGTAGGATTTTTTATGAATTTATTTGCAAATTATGGTGGAAAATAAGTATTTGGTCAATAACAAAAGTTTCTCAATACTTTGTTATATACCCTTTGTTGGCAATGACACAGGTCAAACGTTTTCTGTAAGTCTTCACAAGGTTTTCACACACTGTTGCTGGTATTTTGGCCCATTCCTCCATGCAGATCTCCTCTAGAGCAGTGATGTTTTGGGGCTGTCGCTGGGCAACACGGACTTTCAACTCCCTCCAAAGATTTTCTATGGGGTTGAGATCTGGAGACTGGCTAGGCCACTCCAGGACCTTGAAATGCTTCTTACGAAGCCAGTCCTTCGTTGCCCGAGCGGTGTGTTTGGGATCATTGTCATGCTGAAAGACCCAGCCACGTTTCATCTTCAATGCCCTTGCTGATGGAAGGAGGTTTTCACTCAAAATCTCACGATACATGGCCCCATTCATTCTTTCCTTTACACGGATCAGTCGTCCTGGTCCCTTTGCAGAAAAACAGCCCCAAAGCATGATGTTTCCACCCCCATGCTTCACAGTAGGTATGGTGTTCTTTGGATGCAACTCAGCATTCTACGTCCTCCAAACACGACGAGTTGAGTTTTTACCAAAAAGTTATATTTTGGTTTCATCTGACCATATGACATTCTCCCAATCCTCTTCTGGATTATCCAAATGCACTCTAGCAAACTTCAGACGGGCCTGGACATGTACTGGCTTAAGCAGGGGGACACATCTGGCACTGCAGGATTTGAGTCCCTGGCGGCGTAGTGTGTTACTGATGGTAGGCTTTGTTACTTTGGTCCCAGCTCTCTGCAGGTCATTCACTAGGTCCCCCCGTGTGGTTCTGGGATTTTTGCTCACCGTTCTTGTGATAATTTTGACCCCACGGGGTGAGATCTTGCGTGGAGCCCCAGATCGAGGGAGATTATCAGTGGTCTTGTATGTCTTCCATTTCCTAATAATTGCTCCCACAGTTGATTTCTTCAAACCAAGCTGCTTACCTATTGCAGATTCAGTCTTCCTAGCCTGGTGCAGGTCTACAATTTTGTTTCTGGTGTCCTTTGACAGCTCTTTGGTCTTGGCCATAGTGGAGTTTGGAGTGTGACTGTTTGAGGTTGTGGACAGATGTATTTTATACTGATAACAAGTTCAAACAGGTGCCATTAATACAGGTAACGAGTGGAGGACAGAGGAGCCTCTTAAAGAGGAAGTTACAGGTCTGTGAGAGCCAGAAATCTTGCTTGTTTGTAGGTGACCAAATACTTATTTTCCACCATAATTTGCAAATAAATTCATTAAAAATCCTACAATGTGATTTTCTGGATTTTTTTTCCTCAATTTGTCTGTCATAGTTGACGTGTACCTATGATGAAAATTACAGGCCTCTGTCATCTTTTTAAGTGGGAGAACTTGCGCAATTGGTGGCTGACTAAATACTTTTTTCCCCCACTGTATGTTGTGGTTTTTGGACAAATAACACATTTCCACCAAAAAGCTGTTATAAATACAACAAACAAAAAAAGATGAAAAACAACAGCAGAAAAGACTCACCTTGATATTCTGGTCTACCTTATTTAGCACTTCCTTGAAATAACAGAATGCATCATTTCAATAAGACACAACTGTGGTGACTCCCTGGCTATCTGTTCTCATATTAACCTACAGCAGCCTGCCCTTTGCCTTATCTTTAAGATCCATGAGAAAGGGAGGACAGAGGAGAGGAGAAAAGAGGAGTACACTCCAAGTTGGGGGCTGGCAGTGTAGAAGCTGTAGATTGTGAGCTATGATAGAGCAACTGATGTGAAATTGAATTGAAAAGGTTGGTTGACAAATGTCACCTAGTCTGACAAATGTCCTGCTGGTTACGGATCAGAGGGTGAATAAAGAATGACAGATTGCACAGCCACAAAATACAGAGTACTCAGCAGAGAACGATTTTTCTATATGAGAGAATAAACGACACTGAACAAAAATATAAACGCAACATCAAATCAAATCACATTTTATTTGTCACATGCACTGAATACAACATGTGTAGACCTTACCGTGAAATGCTTACTTACGAGCCCTTAACCAACAATGCAGTTCAAGAAATAGAGTTAAGAAAATATTTACAAAATAAACTAAACAAAAATAAAAATAATAAAAATAAGTAACACAATAAAATTACAATAACGAGGCTATATTCAGGGGGTACCGGTACTGAGTCAATATGCGGGGATACAGGTTGGTCGAGGTAATTTGTATATGTAGGTAGGGGTAAAGTGACTATTCATAGATAATAAACAGCGAGTAGCAGCAGTGTAACAGGGAGAACAGTCTATGACTTGGGTGAATGGAGTCTTTGACCATTTTTTGGGCCCTCCTCTGACACAGCCTAGTATATAGGTCCTGGATGGCAGGAAGCTTGGCCCCAGTGATGTACTGGGCCGTACATGTAACAATTTCAAAGATTTTACTGAGTTACAGTTCATATAAGGAATACAGATATGCGTCTGTCGCAGTGGAGGCTGCTGAGGGGAGAATGGATCATAATAATGGCCGGAACAGAGCGAATGGAATGGCATCAAACACATGGAAACCATGTTTTTGATTTATTTGATACCATTCCACCAATTCCGCTCCAGCCATTACCACAAGCCCATTCTCCCCAATTAAGGTGCCACCAATCTCCTGTGGTCTGTCGGTCACAGATACTTTAAATAAAAAGGTAGGGGCGTGGATCAGAAAACCAGTCAGTATCTGGTGTGACCACGATTTGCCTCATGCAGCGCGACACATCTCCTTTGCATAGAGTTTATCAGGCTGTTGATTTTGGCCTGTGGAATATTGTCCCACACCTCTTCAATGGCTGTGCGAAGTTGCTGGATATTGGCAGGAACTGGAACATGCTGTCGCACGCGTCAATCCAGAGCATCCCAAACATGGGGCCCTACATTACCATACTGAAACATTAGGTGATGGCAGCGAATGAATGGCACCACAAAGGGCCACAGGATCACTTCACGGTATCTCTGTGCATTCAAATTGCCATCGATAAAATGCAATTGTGTTCGTTGTCCGTAGCTTATACCTGCCCATACCATAACCCCACCGCCAACATTGGGCATTCTGTTCACAATGTTGACATCAGCAAACCGGTCGCCCACACGACGCCATACATGTCTGCCATCTGCCCCGTACAGTTGAAACCAGGATTAATCTGTGAAGAGCACACTTCTCCAGCATGCCAGTAGCCATCGAAGGTGAGCATTTGCCCACTGAAGTCGGTTACGACTCCGAACTGCAGTCAGCTGAAAACCCTGGTGACGACAATGAGCCCGCAGATGAGCTTCCATGAGACGGTTTCTGAGAGTTGTGCAGAAATTATTTGGTTGTGTAAACCCACAGTTTCATCAGCTGTCCGGGTGGCTGGTCTCAGACGATCCTGCAGGTGGAGAAGCCGGATGTGGAGGTCCTGGGCTGGCGTGGTTACACATGGTCTGCGGTTTTGAGGCCAGTTGGACGTCCTGCAAAATTCTCTAAAATGACATTGGCATTATCTGGCAACAGCTCTGGTGGACATTCCTGCAGTCAGCATGCCAATTGCACGCTCCCTTAACTTGAGACATCTGTGGCATTGTGTTGTGTGACAAAACGGCACATTTCAGAGTGGCCTTTTATTGTCCCCAGCACAAGGTGCACCTATGTAATGATCATGCTTTTTAATCAGCTTCTTGATATGCCACACCTGTCAGGTTGATGGATTATCTTGGCAAAGGAGAAATGCTCACTAACAGGGATGTAAACAAATTTGTGCACAACATTTGAAAGAAATAGGCTTTTTGTGCGTATGGAAAATGTGTGTGATCTTTTATTTCAGCTCATGAAACATAGGAGCAACACTTTAGATGTTGCATTTATATTTTTGTTCAGTAGATGTTGGGGGAACAAATGAAAAGCCCTGGATATACAGTAATGTAGTTCTTTGTATTTATGACTTCAATAACAAGCAGACTGTGCTTCTATTGAAATTGCTGCATTTTCATCAACCTTTGGTGTCAAAAGTATTGACATAGCATAAAATAAGTACAAAGCATTCCACAAACAGCATGGGGCTTATTCTGTTAATAAGCGAGGACACGTATGGGCTAAAATTATACCTGTATATTAGGATTGCTATGAAAGCCCAAGGACAACAAAAAAACGGAAATTATAAAATAACAAAATAAAAGTCACCTTTCTGGCTGTCGATGACAAAGTTGCCCTCCTCGTTGCCAGCTGTAATTGAGTACACTATTCCATCACCATCCGGGTCCTTAGCCAGTACTGTGGCAACGAGTGTGTTTGGGCCAGCGTCCTCGGAGACAAAGGTCCGATAGCTGGGAAGGATAGGAGAAAATAATTATCTGTACAACAACAATACAGACATAAGCACACAGGCATTAACACACACACACACACACACACACACATCAAATCAAATGTTATTTGTCACATGCGCCGATTTAACAGGTGTAGACCCTTAACCAACAATGCAGTTCAAGAAATAGAGTTGAGAAAATATTTACAAAATAAACTAAAGTAAAAAGTAAAATAAAAAGTCACAAAATATAATAACAATCACGAGGCTATATACAGGGGGTACCGGTACCGAGTCAATGTGCGGGGGTACAGTATAGTCGAGGTTATTTGTACATGTAGGTAGGGGTAAAGTGACTATGCATTGATAATAAACAGCGAGTAGCAGCAGTGTAAAAACAAAGGGGGGGGGGGGGGGGGGGGGGGGGGGTCAATGTAAATAGTACGGGTAGCCATTTGATTAATTGTTCAGCAGTTTTATGGCTTGGGGATAGAAGCTGCTAAGGAGCCTTTTGGACCTAGACTTGGCGCTCCGGTACCGCTTGCCGTGCAGTAGCAGAGAGAACAGTCTATGACTTAGGTGACTGGAGTCTTTGACAGTTTTTTGGGCCTTCCTCTGACACTGCCTAGTATATACAGTGAGGGAAAAAAGTATTTGATCCCCTGCTGATTTTGTACATTTGCCCACTGACAAAGAAATTATCAGTCTATAATTTTAATGGTAGGTTTATTTGAACAGTGAGAGACAGAATAACAACAAAAAAATCCAGAAAAACGCATGTCAAAAATGTTATAAATTGATTTGCATTTTAATGAGGGAAATAAATATTTGACCCCCTCTCAATCAAAAAGATTTCTGGCTCCCAGGTGTCTTTTATACAGGTAACGAGCTGAGATTAGGAGCACACTCTTAAAGGGAGTGCTCCTAATCTCAGTTTGTTACCTGTATAAAAGACACCTGTCCACAGAAGCAATCAATCAATCAGATTCCAAACTCTCCACCATGGCCAAGACCAAAGAGCTCTCCGAGGATGTCGGACAAGATTGTAGACCTACACAAGGCTGGAATGGGCTACAAGACCATCGCCAAGCAGCTTGGTGAGAAGGTGACAACAGTTGGTACGATTATTCGCAAATGGAAGAAACACAAAATAACTGTCAATCTCCCTCGGCCTGGGGCTCCATGCAAGATCTCACCTCGTGGAGTTGCAATGATCATGAGAACGGTGTGGAATCAGCCCAGAACTACACGGGGGGATCTTGTCAATGATCTCAAGGAAGCTGGGACCATACTCACCAAGAAAACAATAGGTAACACACTACGCCGTGAAGGACTGAAATCCTGCAGCGCCCACAAGGTCCCCCTGCTCAAGAAAGCACATACAGGCCCGTCTGAAGTTTGACAATGAACATCTGAATGATTCAGAGGAGAACTGGGTGAAAGTGTTGTGGTCAGATGAGACCAAAATCGAGCTCTTTGGCATCAACTCAACTCGCCGTGTTTGGAGGAGGAGGAATGCTGCCTATGACCCCAAGAACACCATCCCCACCGTCAAACATGGAGGTGGAAACATTATGCTTTGGGGGTGTTTTTCTGCTAAGGGGACAGGACAACTTCACCGCATCAAAGGGATGATGGACGGAGAAATGTACTGTCAAATCTTGGGTGAGAACCTCCTTCCCTCAGCCGGGCATTGAAAATGGGTCGTGGATGGGTATTCCAGCATGACAATGACCCAAAACACACGGCCAAGGCAACAAAGGAGTGGCTCAAGAAGAAGCACATTAAGGTCCTGGAGTGGCCTAGCCAGTCTCCAGACCTTAATCCCATAGAAAATTGGTGGAGGGAGCTGAAGGTTCGAGTTGCCAAACGTCAGCCTCGAAACCTTAATGACTTGGAGAAGATCTGCAAAGAGGAGTGGGACAAAATCCCTCCTGAGATGTGTGCAAACCTGGTGGCCAACTACAAGAAACGTCTGACCTCTGTGATTGCCAACAAGGGTTTTGCCACCAAGTACTAAGTCATGTTTTGCAGAGGGGTCAAATACTTTTTTCCCTCACTGTAGGTCCTGGATGGCAGGAAGCTTGGCCCCAGTGATGTACTGGGCGATACGCACTACACTCTGTAGCGCCTTACGGTCGGTCGGATGCCGAGCAGTTGCCATACCAGGCGGTGATGCAACTGGTCAGGATGCTCTCGATGGTGCAGCTGTAGAACGTTTTGAGGATCTGGGGACCCATGCCAAATCTTTTCAGTCTCCTGAGGGGGAAAAGATATCGTCGTGCCCTCTTCACGACTGTCTTGGTGTGTTTGGACCATGATAGTTTGTTGGTGATGTGGACACCAAGGAACTTGAAACTCTCGACCCGCTCCACTACAGCCCCGTCTATGTTAATGGGGGCCTGTTCGGCCCTCCTTTTCCTGTAGTCCACAATCAGCTCCTTTGTCTTGCTGGCATTGAGGGAGAGGTTGTTGTCCTGGCACCACACTGTCAGGTCTCTGACCTCCTCCCTACAGGCTGTCTCATCATTGTCGGTGATCAGGCCTACAACTGTTGTGTCGTCAGCAAACTTAATGATGGTGTTGGAGACGTTTTTGGCCACACAGTCATGTGTGAACAGGGTGTATAGGAGGGGAATAAGCACGCACCCTTGAGGGGCCCCAGTGTTGAGGATCAGTGTGGAAGATGTGTTGTTGCCTACCCTTACCACCTGGGGGCGGCCTGTCAGGAAGTCCAGGATCCAGTTGCAGAGGGAGGTGTTTAGTCCCAGGGTCCTTAGCTTAGTGATGAGCTTCGTGGGCACTATGGTATTGAACGCTGAGCTGTAGTCAATGAATTCTCACATAGGTGTTCCTTTTGTCCAGATGGGAAAGGGCAGTGTGGAGTGCGATTGACATTGCATAATCAGTGGATCTGTTGGGGCGGTATGGGAATTGGAGTGGGTCTAGAGTTTCCGGGATGATGGTGTTGATGTGAGTCATGACCAGCCTTTCAAAGCACTTCATGGCTACCGATGTGAGTGCTATGGGGCAGTAGTCATTTAGGCAGGTTACCTTCACTTTCTTGGGCACAGAGATAGTGGTCTGCTTGAAACATGTAGGTATTACAGACTCGGTCAGGGAGAGGTTGAAATTGTCAGTGAAGACACTGTTGACCTGTTTAAAGGTCTTGCTCACATCAGCTATGGAGAGCGTGATCACACAGTTGTCTGGAACAGCTGGTGCTCTCATGCATGCTTATGTGTTGCTTGCCTCGAAGCGAGCATAAAAGGCATTTAGCTCGTCTGGTAGGCTCACGTCACTGGGCAGCTCGCAGCTGAGTTTCCCTTTGTAGTCCGTAATAGTTTGCAAGCCCTGCCACATCCGACGAGCCAGTGTAGTAGAATCCAGTCTTAGTCCTGTATTGACGATTTGCCTGTTTGATGGTTCGTCTGAGGGCATAGTGGGATTTCTTATAAGCTTCAAGATTAGTGTTCCGCTCCTTGAAAGCGGCAGCTCTAGCCTTTAGCTCGGTGTGGATGTTGCCTGTAATCCATGGCTTCTGGTTGGGATATGTATGCACGGTCACTGTGGGGACGATGTTGTCGATGCACTTATTGATGAAGCCGGTGACTGAGGTGGTATACTCCTCAATGCCATTGGATGAATCCTGAAACATATTCCAGTCTGTGCTAGCAAAACAGTCCTGTAGCTTAGCATCCGCGTCATCTGACCACTTCCGTATTGAGCAAGTCACTGGTACTTCCTGCTTTAGTTTTTGCTTGTAAGCAGGAAGAAGGAGGATAGAATTATGATCAGATTTGCCAAATGGAGGGTGAGGGAGAGCTTTGTATGTGTCTCTGTGTGTGGTGTTAAGGTGATGTAGAGTTTTTTTCCCTCTGGTTGCACATGTGCCATGCTGGTAGAAATGAGGTAAAACGGATTTAAGTTTGCCTGCATTAAAGTCCCCGGCCACTAGGAGCACCACTTCTGGATAAGCATTTCCTTGTTTGTTTATGGCCTTGACTGCGGTCTTAGTGCCAGCATCGGTTTGTGGTGGTAAATAGACAGCTATGCATAATATAGATGAAAACTCTCTTGGTTGATAGTGTGGTCTACAGCTTATCATGAGGTACTCTACCTCAGGCGAGCAATATCTCGAGATTTCCTTAATATTAGACATAGCCCACCAGCTGTTATTGACAAATAGACACACATCCCCACCCCTCATCTTACCAGACGTAGCTGTTCTGTCCTGCCGATGCACGGAAAACCCAGCCAGCTCTATATTATCTGTGTCGTCATTCAGCCACAAGTCGGTGAAACAAAAGATATTACCGTTTTTAATGTCCCGTTGATAGCATAATCTCAAAGATGTCTGTCTTTGTGTGGAGACGCACGCACGCATGCATGCACACACACACACACACACGCACGCACGCACGCACGCACGCACGCACGCACGCACGCACGCACGCACGCACGCACGCACGCACGCACGCACGCACACACACACACACACACACACACACACACACACACACACACACACACACACACACACACACACACACACACACATACACACCGTGTACTGTACAGACTGTATCAAGCACATAGTGAAAGCATCAGCAGCCTGATTAGAGTTATGAGCCTGGCTTTGCCTGCCACTTTGATTTAACCCCTACTCTGAGACAAATGATCATGTCTGCTGGGATGTTGAACTCATTGAACAAATGTGCCTTTCACATAGCCAGCCCACTCTGTGACAACAGTGATTTGCTTGCTGTGTGGTGTTGGAAACTGGGATAGCCAAGCCAGGAACAAGAGAGAATTAGACTGGTGAAGTGGGATGGTGGGGTAGAGAGGCTTGTTCAATTGTTTGGTTGAGGTTTGAGAGAGGGAGAGAGGGTGGAGAGGGGGTTGGTGGGAAAGACATGCTTAAGGGGGAGGAAAAAAGGCTTGAAAGTGAAATGACACAGGCAGTAATATGTGGAAGAGAGAGAGAGAGAGAGAGAGAGAGAGAGAGAGAGAGAGAGAGAGAGAGAGAGAGAGAGAAATGATAGACAGGAGTATAATGTAAGAGGAGAGGCAGAGCTTGAGAGAGTAAGTTTTAGTTGACTCGTCAGCAGAACGCTAACCTGTGTGTGTGTGTGTGTGTGTTTGTTTGTGTTTGTTTGTGTCTCCGAGGTGATTGATGATTTTCAGAAGAACGCTGATGGGCGATTCATCTCCGCCAGCTGTGACAGTCGCCGTGGCAACATGAGTGACCTGTAATCTGTCACCCGGCTCAAAGGGTGCTTTACCTGCCTCCAGACGGGACTGCTCAGGCATCTCTCCGCTGAGTATCACTCCTCCTATCCTCAATGTATCTCTTTCTCACTGATCTAAGGAGACAAGCCCACACAAAACGTACCCTGTCTGCCTGTTCAGTCTGATACCTAACACTTAGACATGACAGGGCATCTTAGATGTGCTGGAGCTCTAGCGATGGTCTCTGGCACATGACTGACAGTACAAGGCCTGAGTCACTCAGAAGAGTTCATGCAGCCAGCAGATGTAAAAATTGTCAAAACTGTCACCCGCCTACCGGTCAGCTTTCCAAAAACACCTTCACACCCTCTATACATGGTTCGTTCATTTTGATTCTAAGATACCTGTATGGTGTTACCCCTCAATTGGGTAGGGTGTAATCTGTGTGATGTTTGTTTGGTATAATTATGTGTGGTATATTAGTAACACATCTAGTCAAGTGTATCAATTGATCTTTTAAATCTGTCACTACTACTACCATTATAGAAGAACACCACCATGCAGCTAAAATGGGAGGACGGGAGAGGGATTATCCTGCTAAACTGGACTGCTGATGGAGGGGGAGGGGGTTGTAGTTCAATAATACTGTTCTACTGATGGAGGGAGAGGGGGTTGTAGTTGAATAATACAGTATATACTGGTCTACTGATGGAGGGGGAGGGGGTTGTAGTTCAATAATACAGTATATACTGGTCTACTGATGGAGGGGGAGGGGGTTGTAGTTCAATAATACAGTATATACTGGTCTACTGATGGAGGGGGAGGGGGTTGTAGTTCAATAATACAGTATATACTGGTCTACTGATGGAGGGAGAGGGGGTTGTAGTTCAATAATACAGTATATACTGGTCTACTGATGGAAGGGGAGGGGGGTGTAGTTCAATAATACAGTATATACTGGTCTACTGATGGAGGGGGAGGGGGATGTAGTTCAATAACACAGTATATACTGGTCTACTGATGGAGGGGGTTGTTCTGTATTTTGTCATGTTTTAGGAAGGGTAGCTTCTGCTTTTGCAACAGCTAATGGGGATCCTAATGAAATCCTAAAGTATAGTATGGTCTACTGATGTTGGGGGAGGGGGTTATGGGGTTTTAGTCTACAGTAGTCTACTGCATATTCACTCACACAGTCTGGGAGAACTCTGGGGCCTGGTCGTTGACGTTAGCCATGCGGATGCGGATGGTGGCGGTGCCCGAGTGAGGCTCCTCCCCGTTATCCACCGCCATCACCACAAACTCATACAGGTGGTTGGGCCTCTCGTAGTCCAGACGGCCCGCAGGGAAGATGGTGCCGTGGGGAGAAATGCTGAAGTCTGGGCTTAGAGTGTAGTAGGTGAGCTCCGCATTCAACCCAGAGTCACAGTCACTGGCTAACACTGCAGGAGAGGTACAGGAGGGTTGTATTCATTAGGCACCAAAAGGAAGAAAAGGTACTGAAAACAGGAGGGGACTGGCTGAACATTTCCAATAAGAAACACTCATTTCTGTTTTTCGTAGAAAAATGTTTTACTATGGTGTGCCCAAATGAACACGACCCTGGTCTCTAAGGTCACAGTCTGGAGCAGAAATCTGATGAATCTGTTGGAATGTGTCGGCAGAGCTGCACGTTAGCACCTATTCATTACTGTAACAACAGAATGTAAGGAATGACAGCAGCAACTCGATATAAAATGTGATGAATAGAAACCGATCAATACATGCGTTAGATGTACAGGGTGATAAATTGTGACTCATTGTGAGCCTGTATAACCAATCTAAATCAGAGTAAAGAGTTCACAGAATGTTCTGTATTGTTGTCCAGAGACCAATGCTCACACACAAGCACACACACGCACGCACGCACACACACACACACACACACACACACACACACACACACACACACACACACACACACACACACACACACACACACACACACACACACACACACACACACACACACACACACACACACACAGTTGTGTATTACTATACTTATGAGGACCTTTTGGGAACAAATAATTGATTCCCATTCAAAATCCTATTTTCCCTAACCTTAAACCTAACTCCAAACCACTTACCCTAACCCTAATTGTAACCCTAACCCTAAACCTAACCCCTAATCCCAAAATAACCTTTTTCCTTTTTAGGATCGGCCAAATGTCTTCACTTGTCTGAATTCTCCTTGGTTTACTATTCTTGTAAGGACTTCTGGTATAGTAAAACTCACACACACACACACACACACACACACACACACACACACACACACACACACACACACACACACACACACACACACACACACACACACACACACACACACACACACACACACACACACACTAGGTGGAGAGAGCTGCATTCTCATCTTACCTTGCAGGAGAGAGGTTGCTGTGGTGACTGTCTCAGAGACTCCATCAACACTGTAAATGGACTGGAGAAATTCTGGGACACAGTCGTTCTCATCCGTTATCACCACCTGAACCTGCTCAGGGGAACAGAGAGAGAGAAGAGGGGGATGAGGAGGGAAAGATGGGGAAAGTTGGAAGGGAGGGAGACAAGAGGGGGAGGAGATGGGGAAATGAGAGACAGACAAGAGGGGGGGACAGAGAAGAGAGGGAAATAAATGGAAGATTAGCAAGTCTTTCATAACCCTAATCATTCTACATCTAGGAGACAGAAGTGGGACATTTTGGTAAGACTCTATATACAATCCTGCGAGTATAATGCTTTATAACTTGTTATATGCACCTATAAGCCTTTACAATGTCTTATAACAAGGCTTATAATAGGTTATGTCTTTATGTATGCATTATGAGACGATAATAAGTCATTATAATGGGGTTATTGATGCTCATGACATTTTACCATGCATTATGACTGCATCATAATGCATAATACCCACAGGCTTTAAGTAAATTGTTACTGAAATGTCATACTGGGAGGAGAAAAACTAAATTGCACTTTAGTTTCTAAAGTTGTTCCCCAACAATTCCTTTATCTTCCAGCTCATGAGCTCTGCTTCTAAAATGGTTCCTGGTCTGTCTTTTTTGCAGAACTGAGAGAGAGAGCGAGCGAGAGCAGAGAGAGGAAAGAGGAGAACTAGAGAGAGTAGCAGAGAGAGAGAGAGAAAGGAGCAGAGATGAGACAGAGAGAGAGAGAGAGAGAGAGAGAGAGAGAAGAGAGAGGAAAAGTAGAACGAGAATAGAGAGATAGTATAGGAAGATCTAAATACTCAATAGCTCCATCTACCACCCTTCTCTCTCTCTCTCTCTCTCTCTCTCCTCTCTCTTCTTTCTCCTCTCTATTTTCTCTCTCTCTGTCTCTCTCTCTCTCTCTCTCTCTCTCTCTCTCTCTCTCTCCTCTCTCTCTCTCTCTCTTCTCTCTCTCTTTCTCTCTCTCTCTTCTCCTCTCTCTCTCTCTCTCTCTCTCTATCTCTCTCTCTGTCACAGTCAGAGTGTAAAGTGTGAAGTGACAGCTGAGTAATAGCACTGAAATAGCTGGAAAGGTTTCCTACAAGCCAACACTCTACATCCAGCAGACCCAGTCAGGCTTAAAGTTCTGTTTTCTATCTGAAATGGGGAGTGTGGGATAAATGTCTGACATGATAATTGGATGACAAAATCATTGACTAAATATTTGAGAAAATTTTAATAAATTCTGGTAAGCAGACTGACTTACAGACTGAATTCTATAGGGATATGGCTGTCTGGTTTAGTCAACTTAATGGTTGTTATAGCTTTGCTCGACACCTCGTGACAGTCTTTACTATACATAAAACACTTACACTGAGACATATATAAGAAAGAAGTGTGACAAACTTGAGATTTAGGTGTCCAGATCAACCCTAGTTTCACAATGCCTTCCTTCCAAGTCTAGTCCTTCACTGGAACGAATGTGAGGAAGTCTGGAAATCAAGGCTAAACCAACCCCAACACACACACACGCACAGACACACACGCACACATCCCTCCTCTAACCCCACACCCACCCCTCGCACACACATTCCATCACTAACTTCTATGGCGCTGCTGAGGCCCCCTGGACCCTCGCTGGCCCTGACCATGAGGAGGTATCGTCTCTGGTCACTCTCATAGTCCAGCGTGCGGGTCAGGCTGATCTCCCCCGTTTCCTGCTGCATGCTGAACAGGCTGCTGGGGTTGATCAGCAGGCTGTAGCTGATTGGCTGCTTCTGGAAGGAGATGGCCATCACCACCAGGAAGCTTAGAGGAGACAGAAATATGTCATTAACAGTATGCTAATAGTGTAGTGCTATAGTTCTGGACCAAAATAAGTGACGTTGTGCCGGCTGTGGGACCCAGGCTGTTTTCTCTGATGTCGGAACATGTGATATTCTCATTAAATCCCTAATCCCCATACAGAGTTGAATTGCAACGTCTGTGAACATGTGTGCATGTGTGTGTGTGCATGCATGTGTGTGTGTGTGCGTGTGTGCGTGTGTGCACTTGCGTTAACATGTTGAGTGTGTATACATCTAGCCTGGCCTCAGATCTGTTTGCTGTTATTGTCAAGCCATGTTTGTGTGATAGCACAAACAGACTGGCACTCAGGCTAGTGTACATCTATGTCATATGTGTATAAACCTTTACAGTCCCAGTACTCACGGCTGTCCCTCGGGGGTGTTCTCTGGTATGGAGATGGCGTAGGATGCGTTGGCGAACTGTGGTGCTCTTGGTCCTGCTATGACAGACACCATGGCCGGAACGCTGCGGCTGCCCAGTCTGTCAAAAGCCACCACACTCAGCAGATACTCCCTGTCTCTCTGCAGGGGGAGACCTGTGGTCAGGACGTGACCACTCTTCTTGTCTACAGAAAAGCAGCCATCACCACCTGTAAGGTACATTAATCAGGCAATACATATATTAATTAATCAATCAATCAATCAGATTTATTTGTAAAGCCCGTGTGTGTTGTGGCATTGATGTGAAAGGCATGACTTGACCTGATTTGACTTGACTAGATGAATAGACTGAGGGTAATATTTCCATCTTAATGTATTCATATACAGTAGCAACATCCTAATCCTAGTCTTGCTGTAAATCCAGGCATTAGAGTAACATACAGTAAGGCTACCAACAACCACACTGTATAGAATGAGGTCAAATGTAAGCCAACAGACCTTGCTGCTGCGCAAGAGCAGGGCTATCATCCTCTTTAGATTAAGAGTTAAACCTATGGAATGTTTGGAGGATTAAATAGAAAAACTCATATAAATCATTGTCAAATCTGATAAAACAATTCTTAGCGGGTGGTTGTTGGTTTCCATTTAGCTTGTACCACTTGGGGCTCATCTGATGTCAGTGCTTAGTTACAATTCAGCTTCAACATCTGTTTGAGGAGAATGAGAAAAGAGAAGGGGGTCAATCTACTCAAAGAGTGGTACTAGTTAGTTTGACTGGTTGTTTGGCGAGGGTTTTATCTGCAGTGGTAGTGCACTGAGTTAATGCAGGTCAGAGAAGAGTGGCAGATAGATTAGCCCACCCCCCACTCCCCCAATAAGATCACAAACCAGACCCCCCTCCGCAGCCCACAGGGACTCTACAGATACAGATCTCTTGGCTGGCCCCAGTGGTGTAGTGCTATTTTATTAGGTATCGGAGCACCTTTTTTTTTTATTAGCCTACTGTATGATTTCATTTTAGAATATACATATACTACAATGCATAATGCAAATGTAACGACTGCCCATGCCTACACATAGTGGCTCAAATAACATTTTATATACCTTATTATAAATAAATCACTGTCAATCGTGAATGATAATTCTTCATGTTTTACAGGTGAAACGTTCATGAGTGTCACGGATTCAGCCGAGGCTGCTCCTCCTCCTTGCTCGGGCAGGCTTCGGCGTTCGTCGTCCCCGGAGTACTAGCTGCTGCCGATCGATGTTTCGGTGTTTGTCTTGTTTGGTCTTTATTGTTTACACCTGTTTCCCATGATGTTTTATTGTGTTCCCTTTATAACCCTCTGTTTCTCATTGTGTATTGTGCGTAATTGTTTTGGTCTTTGCGGCAGTTGCCCATGTGTGCGGGTCTTATTATTTCCTCGCTGTTTGAGGTTGCCTGTGTACTTTGTATTTTGCACTGCATCCAGTAAAGTTTCTGCCAGTAGCTCGGTGTCCTGCTCTTGACTTCGCCTACCGCATACACGTCGCTGTGACAATGAGCCATCTGCATGCCAACCATTTGATCCCAATCACTTTCATGGGATTATGCATTTTGATTTTATTATTCTTGAATGATGTAAGTAGCATATTTTGTTTCAATCAAAGCATATTTAGTCTAGTGGCGTGGCTGTTGAGTTCTGGCCGCATGAGGAAAAAAATGTAATAAGTAGCCTAATTACGTGGTGTTTTTGGTCTAACAGTAGAGCCTATCGTTATACTATGCTATTATATTTGGTTTGTTATGTAGAATACTAATGAATCATTAAGTGATATTGCGAGACATATTGATTCAACTTGAATCTAAATTTAACTGGCTGCACTACACCCCTGGGCTTGGTCCACCGTGTGTGTGTCTATGTGTGCTTTCCGTACCATCGGCCAAAAAGTACTCCACCTCGCCACTGCTGCCCTCATCCCCGTCGCGGGCGATGAGTGGGTAAACCAGCGCCCCAGGGGGGGCCTCGGAGGACACCACAGCTAGGTAGGGGTATGGCTCCATGGCCCACTCGGGGACATTGTCGTTGACATCTGTCACCCTCAGCTTCACCTTGGTCAGGTACCAGTCAGGCCCTTGAGGACAGGAGAGGAGAGAGATAGTGAGTCAATTGAAGAGACTAGACCAAATAAATAGAATCCTGTACTTCCTGCTTTACTGTCTTTTTATGGGTACACTCAATACCCAAGCCAGTCCACCCATCAAAGAAAATACATAACCACAGTATTACCGATACAGTTCTCTGATTGATTCTTGCTCTACATGACTAAAGGCCTTTCTGGGAGTGCAGGATGGATGTCACAATGTCACAAGGGTGAGGAGGCGTTTCTCCACTTCAGGACAGCTACCAGCCCAGCAGACTTCCTGAAATCCTGCCTCCCCTGGGAGAGTGGCCCAGCCAGGAGCTGATCTGCCCTGACCCAGCAAAGCCTATGTGATCCCCCAAGAGCTTGGCGATAATGCCTCACGACAACAGACTCTTTGTCACCTGTACACTGCTACTGCCCTGCTCCTCCCACACTGGAATGAATAAGAAGATTCCTGCAATCCAATTATCACTGCAGGGAGGAAGAGAGTGTGAAAAGAGAGAGAGAGAGAGAGAGGAGAGGAGAAGACGAGAGAGTAGAGAGAAGAGAGAGAGAGAGAGAGAGATCGACTGTAGCGAGGAGGAGAGGAGAGCAGAGATGTGAATGACGAGATAGGTGATGGGTCAGATCCAGAGACTGAAGTCGACGAGAGATGAGACTTGGTGACGAAGCATCAGTGAGATGGGATGTGAAGACAGAGAGTTGATTGGCTTGGGAAAGATGAACATGAGAAGATCTCGAATGAGAGAGAAACTGAAGATAGACAGAAAAGGACATCAAGAGAGAAAGGGAAGGATGAAGAAGAGAGAAGAGAGAATGAGGAGAAGAGAAGAAGAGTTGTGCAAGTATAGATGGAGTGTCACAGAGTCAGTGATCTGAAGAGCTGGAATGCTGAGAGGATTGAACTGAAAGAATGAATGAAAACACATTTCAAACAAGGTAGTGTATAGATCAAGTTGGCTCAGGCTAACAGTTTGAAGGCTAAGGACTTTCTACAGATATTGAGAGATTAAGACTAGGACATTGACATATTGACTCATCAAATGGCACCAATTAAATCCACCTCTATGAAACGATCACACTCTCCTCAGTTGTTCTTTGTTTTACCTTAGCAAGGTTAGGTAGCTAGATTCCCACACACGTTTCCTCGGGGTCAAGGGTAACAGAGGATTTGTCTAAAACCTCCTCTGTCTGACTACGGGCTATAAACGTGTCTCCTGATCTTCGACAATCTAAACAACTGTTGCAGGAAGTAGCTACTGGCGTTCACCTTCACTGGTTTCCATGACAGCTGTTGTTTACCAGGGAGAAAGAGCTGTCTGCTCTGACCCAACTCTGACCCTCCGTCACTCACAGTCTATTACCTGGTCTATGATGTGCTACACTGTAGTATACTGTATACTGTATGAGTCTGTATGATCTGTCATTTAATTTATGTTCTCATTAGAATATCTCAAAATAGTGACATTTAACCATTGTAGTTATACTTCTCCTAAACTGACATATTAGTTATATGTCCCTTGTACTGACATATTCGTTTTGTCACTATAATGACATATCAACTTGTATTTTTTACTGTATGATCAATTTATGCGAGCTTACATGAATGGTTTGCATCCTTGGTAGCAAACCATTCATGTAAGCTTGCGAGATCAAGCTGGCTCACGAGGCTACAATTGATATTCTATGACGTCAAATTCCAGTGCACCAAAAATAACCAATATTTCTCATAGTGTAATAGACCTTGCCATATGAGGGTCAATAACATTTTCACTGTTGGGTTGCACAAACCAAATACATGTTGATAATGTATTTCAAAACACATTTCCCATTTCTTTACTGGGCTATACCTATAGGTTTAGCTGTCCAGTGTTTTGTGAAACGCAAAATACTCTGCACCCCGAGTAGCTAGCTGAGGCATGTTCTCCACTGAAACACAATTGCTCCAAAGTTTGTGACAGCTCTTAAAATGATTGTTAGAGCAACAAAAAAAATCTGGATCAAAAAGGGGCGTGGCAAGTCAAATCTAATTTTATTTGTCACATGTGCCAATACAACTGGTATAGACTTTACCGTGAAATGCTTGCTTACGAGGCCTTCACAACGATGCAGAGTTTTAAAATAATAATACATAAAAAATATGGCGCGGTCGGCCCGTCTGCGCGGCTGAATTTTAGAGAACATTTTAGGGACCCACGTCTTACCGGTGTAGAGAAATGTTTGCATTTTTAAGCCAATTTCCTGTAATTCTACAAATTCCTCCATGGAGCTGAGAGACATTTTAGCAGTTTTAAAGCTAATTTACTGCAATTCTACAAATTTTGTCATGCAGCTGAGAGAAAATGTTGCAGTTTTAAAACAAATTTCCTGCGATTCTACAGTACATCCTCTGCCATGGAGCTGAGAGGACATTTTGCAGTTTTAAAGCTAATTTCTTGCAATTCTATGCATTTTGCTATAGCTAATGCTATGTTCTATTTATACTGCCAAATTCATTGTTTTTGGAATTTTCAATTCTCCCTGACTGTCTATCTTTTATTTTGTTGATGGTTAATTCTCAAAGATTATATTATAAATATATATATATATATATATATATATATATATATATATATATATATATATATATATACTGTAGGTCCATTATCTTTTCTATATACTTTATAACTTTTTCACTGTTTGGACTTAGGCGACCCGTAAAAACACTCAGACGGCCCACCCAAGGATTTCAATGGCAGAAAAATCCCTGTTAGAGGGATAATAACTAAGAGGCAGAGGCTAGAGGAGATAATTAATCTAGTTTTGCTACCGGCGCTTTGAAGTCTGTTTGTGGAGAAAAGTTCTCGCGGATCAGATGATAGCTCATTTAGATAAATAGAACAGTATCATGGGGGCAGAGAAAATCATCAATGTTTAGATAGTATCTGTGGAAATGTCGACAGAGGCAGTTTACGCCAGCTACAGAGCTTTAAAAAAATTAATCCAGAATCCATTTATGCTGAGTAATGATCACAGATCTGTATTTATTTCAGATCTGGAAGGTCTAAGAGGCACTCTATCAAGGAAAAATCACTTTACATTTGGTTAAATATCGTTATGTTGTTACAAGCGGGGGAGAAAGTGCAGTGCTCCTGCATGTTTGTGCCTTTCCCAACCATGTCTCTTATAGCTAATTGTGGTGATGATTTTACAAGGCTGGCTTAATAAGCTTGTTATGTAGCGCCTAATCAGAGCCAAGCCACATAATTACAGACCATCAGGAGTAGAATGGTAATGAAGAGTGTGTCAAAGCCGACGTGGGTGTGTGTGTGTGTGTGTGTGTGTGCGTGCGTGAGGCTCCTATGATCTATGGAGCCACAAAAAGAGCAGTGATAAACACACTCAGGCTGAAACTCGCCTTACAGCGTCTCACCTGACTGAGACCAAGTGCTATAATCAAATTATTGTAATGAAGAATCAGATTTAAGTCTCCTCTGAATTTACAAAGCCCATACAAAGTATTAACCGTAGGTCAATCGGTTGAATAAGGTCTATTGTGCGGTATCTAATGAAAAATAGCATCTGCTAAATGGCTGTAATGAAATGTAATGTGATAAAATGGATAGCAGCTACAGTACATTGGGAGTGTCATAGTGTGCTGTTCCCTCCACTGTCTCCCTACAGGGATGTTGTGTTGTTGCTGCCTGATGGTAATCCTCTCCTTGGGCAGTAGCTATATAAAGCTGCTAAGTGGCTTGCTGGTATAAAAAGGTTTTCTGAAGTGCTCTTCTCATATACTGCCACGGTACAAGGAAGGGTGTGTGTGTGTGTGTGTGTGTGTGTTCATATGTGCAGTGCAATGCACGGCAGAGAAGTTTAAGAGAACAGAGCAGTATAAGAGGACAGTACAAAGGAAACTGAACAACCTAAGTAGTCTATGGCACTACACGAACAGGTTAACAAAACACTACATGACAAAGCCTTCACACACAAGTGAATGTGATCTGGCATAGTACACAATACAGGACAGCACATGAAAACAGTACAGGAGAGAATTGTATTGAGATATACCATCTAATTACTGTAATTTCAAAGGCTCCACATAATATGGACGCCACGCTGAATTGCCTGCTGCTTCTTCTTCGAGCCCTTTGCGGGAAAAAGAAAACATGCAACAAATATATCAGTTGGGTACCAAATGAATAGAAATTGCATCTGCAAACATAAATAACCGATGGTGCATCAGATACCTTTTAGGCATGCTTTTTTGCAGTCTGTGGGTATAAAGTGAATTTCTGCGCAGCAGGGAAGAATTAAGACATATTAACCAAATGTTTGCAGTGTTAAAGGGGCCCTATTGTAAATCCCTCACTGTGAGCCTAAAGCACTGTGAGTCTGGACCAGTCAGCATAGGATCAACACACTGAAAGCTCAGAGGACTAAAATCTATTAAGTTCCATCCTCTGCACACTCTGTACTGTAGTGGCTCAAAGCTTCCGAGGTTCGGACACACACAGAGCTCCACAGACACATGCACACAGACACATGCACACACACACACACAAACTAACACGCCATTTAAATGCAATGCATTGCTGACTAGGTGGAATGGAAGTTAATCTAAATTGCTTCACACATACGGAATATATATCTACAATATCCACTATAACAGAATCTAACGTCAAGTCAAATATTCTTTAGCCTTATCCTGCTCTCCCTATGGGGCTCTCCTTAGTGTCTTCTGTTGTGTGTTGCGATGAGAAAGGACACTAGCAGTAAGGAGATAGTAGTACACTTCAGGCTCTCTCATCCCTCCAGCTGTTATCACCACACTGGGCCTAAAGTGGATTGGGAACAGTGGGGAGTTTCTAGAAACACTATTCAACTCTAAGAAAATACTCTGTAAAAGCCTCTTCCCATCAGAGAGTCAGAAGAGGGTTGCGACTTTAAGGAGAGTAATATCTCTCTCTCTCTCTCTCTCTTGCTCATGGATACCTTCTCTCTCCTCC